GAAACACAATTTAGTAATAAAATAGTTTGGTATCCGGTTGTTAGGTTTATAAAATAATAATTAATAATGACATGACATGTTAATATGATTGACATTTTAATCCTAAAATGTGATAAATATTAAATAATATGATTTTATAATTAATATTATAAATTATACTAACTATTTAAGATATTAATATTATTATATATATTTTCGGGTCGGGTCGGGTTTTCGGGTCGGACAGCTTTTACAACCCGACCCGAGTCCGAACCCGAGAAATTTTTTTTTGATGTCGGGTCGGGTCGGGCTACGGACAGCCCGTGCAGTTCTCTAGCTATAAACATCATTTTATTACGGTAAACAATCTAATTGAGTTAAAAGTAATGTCGTAAAAATATTAAAATAAATTATTTATGATATCTACCTATAAATTGATTATATTGCTTTAAAATGTTTAGATATAAAAAGGCACTTATTTTGCATTGTATTTTTGGGTATCGCGTCATTACCGAGAAACCATTACAGAGAAAACAATTATAGAGAAACTTTTACAGAGAAAACAATTATAGAGAATTATTTTATAGGGAATTATAGAGAATGTATTTTACAGAGAATTTTTTATAGAGAAAACAATTATAGAGAATGTCATTTATAAAGAATGTCTTATATAGAGAATGATTTTACAGAGAATTATTTTATAGAGAATGATTTTATAGAGAATGAATTTATAGAGAATGATTTTACAGAATATGATTTAATAGAAAATGATTTTATAGAGAATAATTTTATAGAGAATGATTTTACAGAGAATGATTTTATAGAAAATTATTTCATAAAGAATGTATTTATAGAGAATTATATTATAAAGAATGTTATTTATAGAGAATTATTTTATAAAGAATGTATTTTATAGAGAATTATTTTATAAAGAATTTTACTTAAAGATATGATTATTTTATAAAAAAATGTTATATATAGTCATAGGAAAATATAGTATTTTACATAATTTTAAATATTAGAATTACCTTATATAAGCGAAGTTTTTCGTTTATTAGATGAATTAATGGTAGAATAAAGTTTTGACATGATTTATAAGGAATTTTACGAAATTTATTTTTAAAGATAAGTACAAAATAAAATAGATAGTGTTGTTAAATGTTACTTTGCCAATGTAATGCAACTAGTAGTTAAATTTTGGATAATATAACAAGTTACAGTTAATAGTTTTCTTTTTTTAAATATAACTAGCCACTAGTTACAATTATTTTTAGTGGATAGTAGATTCAGGGCTAGCCGGATCGATTAAATTATGTTAAATCGTATATATTTATATTAATATAAATTCATTGGCTAAGATTTAAATAATATAATAAAAGAATGTTAAATAAATTTACAAATTTAAATTTATTATTTAATTATATTTATTGAATATATATAAAAATTAAGTAACCAGTTACTTTTGCGTGGATGCCTGTTTCATATGTCTTAATATGCATATGGCGCACGGTTCAAAAAAATCCGCCTATTTGCAATGCATACAAAACTGAAATAAATTTTGTTATGTACATAAAAATGTTAATGTCACTGGCATATGCACCAATTGAGAATGTAATTCATAGATTTGAGGAATTATGTGCCTCTAAATTTTATCAAGAAAATATTCTCTCCCCCTTGATAGAATACTTTGAAGAGTCGTGGATTGGAAAAATGATAGCGATAGAGAGGATGTCGCCAATATTTAGCATTTCTCTATGGAATTGCTACTAATTGACACTATCTCGTGAACCGAATACAAATAATTCAGTAGAGGACTGGCATCGAAGTTTTTCGTCTTATAAGTTCCTATCATCCAACGATTTGGAAATTTATAAAGAGTTAGTAATTATATTATATTATAAATTTTAGCATTTTAATTTTTACCACTCAAAGACGAAGATAGCCTGAATTGCTACAAATTGGAACAATATTCTTTAGGACTATTGGGTCCGTTGTCAAAGAAAGAATATCGCGAAAGATCCAAAAGGGTTTTTCTAATTGTTGAAGATTTTTATTCAAGAACCATGCTGGATTATTTAAGGGCTTTATCCCATAATTTAAATTTAAATGTTTAATTTAATCATATAATTGTATTTTTTATATTGGTATATTATTTATACTATTGTTTATTTGGATTTTTTTATGAATAAAAATTTATTTGATATTTCGAAATGAATATTGCTAAGCTCAGTATATTATCAAGGTTTATCTTATAAAAACTTCATATACAAATAGTATTAAACATATTCTTTAAGTCACATTGCCAAAGTAACTTTTAACAACACTATATATTTTATTTTGTATTCTTATCTTTAAAAATAAATTTCGTAAAATTCCTTACAAATCATGTCAAAATTTGTTTATCTCTTACGACAAACAACTAACTTAAAAATGGATTATCGGTGTGTCCCATCTATAATTGAAAATTTTTAGGAAGAATAATAATATAAGTAAGAATTAAATAAATTTTTCTGAAAATAAAAAAAAGCTTATAAATGAAAATCTCAACATTAGTTTTGTCAAATTAAGTGGTTACCATTAACTAGCTACACTTTAGCTAAAAAATATTTATAACTAATTACATTTACAAAATCGTAACTGTCGCTGGCTACATTTTTTAGAAAGTAACTGCCAAAAGTAACTAGCTACTTAATTTAAATAAATATAATTAAATAATAAATTTAAATTTGTAAAAAATTTTTTTATTCTTTTACTATATGATTTTCCTTACAAATCATGTCAAAATTTTGTTCTACCATTAATTCATCTAATAATCGAAAAACCTTGTGCAAAGAAAAACAAATAATTTTCTGTACCGATTAATAATTCAAAAACTACCCAATTATTCTCTTATATAAGGTAATTCTAATATATAATATTATGTCAAATACTGTAATTTTTTTTCCTATGACTATAAATAACATTTTTTATAAAATAATCATATTCTTAAATAAAATTCTTTATAAAATAATTCTCTATAAAATAATATTCTTTATAAAATAATTCTATAAAATACATTCATTATAAAATAATTCCTGTAAAATAATTCTCTATAAAATACATTCTCTATAAAATCATTCTCTGTAAAATCATTCTCTATAAAATCATTCTCTGTAAAATCATTCTCTGTAAAATCATTCTCTGTAAAATCATTCTCTGTAAAATCATTCTCTGTAAAATTATTCTCTATAAAATTATTCTCTATAAACGACATTCTCTATAATTGTCTTCTCTGTAAGTGCATTCTCTATAAACGTCATTCTCTATATAAAACTTTCTCTATAAAATTTTCTCTATAAACGACATTCTCTATAATTGTTTTCTCTATAAGTGCATTCTATATTTTTGTTTTCTCTATAAAAGTTTCTCTGTAAAATACAGTATTTTTGACATATGGCGCCATTATTTCCATTAATTTTTGTAGATAATTGTTTTACAGATGAATTTTAAAAATAAATTTTAGTAATCATCAGTTATGGGATTTAAAATTATTAGAGAAAGTGGAATAAATTTTCTGGGTTCTAAGCTGTTTCAAACTGTGAGGTAGAGCCGTGCTTAGTTGACAGCCACTAAATTTTTCGAAATGTTAAGGGTCGCCAAGTTTAAATATTTTGTTTTATATCAAATAAAATAACTAAATAAATAATTAGTATTCAAAACAAAGAATATAGATATTAAATTTTATATTTTATATTGAAACCAATATCGACTCGATGGGAAATTTGAAAGTGTAAAAATGATTTGATATCAAGTTAGCTATTTATGACACTTTAGTTGATCTTTCAAACACAACAAAGGATCCGAAGGGTCAATTTTTAAAGATTAAACCCATCTTAACCATCAAATCAATAGTCTCGCAATAGAAACAAAAGCTCTGAAAAGACTTAGTGGATGACCATGGAATCCAAAGCCGAAATAGATGATGAAAGAAGATCATAAAAATAAACTTAAGGCCCGGCCTGAAAATGTTAAAATTTTGTTATTTTGAATAATTTTGGCTATATTTTACAAATTGTTTCAAAGGGAATTTAATATGAGCAGTAAATAAATATTAAACGCTTCATTATAAGATTTACCAACATTTTCCCCATTGATTTTTAATTTCTTGAATATTTTAAACCCAACCCGGATTTGTAAAGTCTTATATTTTTCAGCCCGTTTTCAGAAGAGGCTTGTAGACCTCTAATAATTATAACCCAAAAATAAATTACCGAATTTATCAATTAAAATAAAGTTGAAATAACTTACGTGCTGTTAAAACATTTTCTGAATCCATTATTAGGCTATTTTTATTGGCTATTTCATTTGGAGGCAAGAGTTTTAAGCCTATAATCCTGATAACTATTATAATTTTTATCTAATATATATATTATTACTCTTCCTCATCAGTTACAAGTACTATCATATGAATCATGATATTGATATCGAAACAAATTATGGAAATTTTCTAAATTTAAATTACAATTTAATCCATCGGTTGAAATATAATATAATGTTTAAATAATTTAATTACTATCAAATGCAAATATTATTTATATTTTTTAAGTAAAATACATATATTATACTCTATAAAAATGGAAAAACATATACATCAATCAAAATTTTTCGAACGATAGTGTGATTTATCGTATCTAATACTATTATAGTACCATCAAGACTACTTGTACACAAGTATCTCTCTGTAGAGTTTGCGAAATGGGCATCTGTCAAATTTTTACAGTGACTCTAAATTTATATAAAAAATTATATATATGAATTCCTATAATATTTAGAAACTTTATTAGATTAGCACTTTATTTATAATACAATGATTTTTTTATTCGCAGAGTATGCGCTAATTTTGATATAGATATTCCTTAACTATTTAGGTTGGCAAATGATAGTGTCTTTTTAAGTTCAATATAGAAAGAAACTAAGCTCAAAAATATAAATCATAATAATCTAGCGTTATCTTTCCTCTCGTACAATATCCCTTTTCATGTTTATGATAAGGTTATGATATTAAAATAATTATGATTTACTGCAGTTAATATGTAATTATCTGTGTTCAATTCGAAGGTTGAAAACATATTATCATCTTCAAGAAAGTTTTTTTGCGTCATATCGGTTTTGAATGCCACTTTTAATATAGCGTTAGTGTCCGTTCCCAAATAGATGTTATTGTTTAATAATTGAATAGCAGCTATACCACCATCGCGATAAGGAATCTAATATTTTTGATTCAATGATAGGTATATTGTAATTTTCATCAAAATTCATATTCATACTTTAATTACGGCGAGTAAATCACAAGTTAAATGATTCCAATATTTTAAGTAACCATCTTTGCCTCCGGATATCAATTTGTTGAAGTTGAAGAATAAAGCAGTTACACATGACTGTTGAGAAATTAATTCAAAAATAATATTTACAATTTACTTCATGTGTTTGGAAAATTTGCCGAATAATTTTCAAGTTAAGATTCCACATTGTTATATTGTTTAAGGAATCTCCAGTAATGAGTATTTCTTTGTTTTGGTCGTAAACCACGCTTGTAAATTCAAAAATTTCTGTTGAATTTTCTGATAAAGTAATTAACTTATAAAAAAACAATGATTATTATAAGAATAAAATGATTATATTTACTTTTTCATAAGAAATTTGGTTTAATTCTTCAAAAGTATCGAGAAATATGTTGATCTTCCACACATTTAAAATAAAACGACCGATGGTAAAAATTTGGAAAGCCCTTGCATATATTATTCTGCGAATTGCCATTTTATTTAACTTAGTAAATATAAATATTTCAAATTAAAATCACGCATTATAAAAAAAAGGATAAATAATTTGAAATTGAGATTCACATTAGAGAATTGCAAACCAGATCTGCTCAAGAGAATAATTTCGGTTTGGGCTGGGTCGGACATAATATTTTTTTAAAAATTCGGGCCAGGTCAAGGCATAAATTTTTAAATAGGATATCATTCAATTTTATGAAATAAAAAGATATATTATAAAATTTTTATTAAATTCTTTGATATTTAAATAAATTCGGACCTGGCCTGTTGGACTAATTTTTATTTCGGGGTGGGCTTTTTGGGGAAAATAAAAAAAATTTGTTCGGGATTGAGCACCGGATATTTTTTTTAAAACAGATTTGGGCTGCCGGGTTTGAAAAAGTAGGACTGATGCAGTTCACTAGTTCACATTGCTTTTCTAATAACCTTATAATAAAAATATCAAAGGATCAATAAAAGAAATAGATTGCTTAGCAACCAAAAAATTGTTACCGAAATTCTAGCTAGTACTTTGGATTTTTTTAGATCCCATAGTAACATAACATGATCATTGCTATTGTCTAAGCTAGCCAAATAATTCTAATTGTGATATTAAATATTGATTAAATAATAATTAAAATGCATATAATTTCTCTATATAATATATATCAGAAACATGCAGAGGTCGAAGTTGTAGGCTCGGCTAGGATTTGAAAAAAATAATTTCCATTTTCAAATCCAGTCTGGAACTTTTTATAGAATTATTTTGGCCACATCTTGATTTTTATTTTTTATTATCTTTGGGCCCGGCCCGGAATGTTCAAAATTTCACCGAATCAGATTTTTCGAATTCAAAAAGCGCCTTCTGTAATAATATAAAATTGAGAGATTCAGAATTTCCATGGATTCCATATCCTAATACGACATATAAAATATATGTTAGCGTCAATGTGTGTTTTCCGGCAATTTGTTATTTTTTCAACTTTGAACCATATTTTGAGCGCGTTTTTTTATAGAAATTGTATTTTACCGGAAATGTATTATGAATTTCAGATAATTTTGTGATGAACTTTTAGGCTAACGGTAAAATCATCTACAATTCATAAGATAGGTATTTTAAACATGTTGGAATATATTTCCGATAAAATCCGAATTTTAGATTAATAGACACGCTCTCAAAGAATGATTTAAAGTTGAAAAAATATCATATTGCCGGAAAAAACATATTTAATCTAACATATATTATATTTCTCAAGTTTCGGAAAGAGAAACACTCTTAAGAGTATTATCATTAACAAGATTATCATTCCCTTCTTGAATAATATCGTTATCATCAATCTTATTTATCTCATCCATTTCAGTTTCAAATATATCGTTACTTTTCGATCAGATGATCGATTTAATTTGTAATACAAAAAATGATAATTCCAAAAATATTTATTTAAAAATTATAATTAAATTTCATTATAATGTCAAATTTAATTATAAAAGAATTTATTTATAAACAATTATTATATTTAATTTAAAAGTAGCGAAGTAGCGCCCTACTTTAACAAAACTGATTTTAGTGTATTACTTTTATTAATATAATAAGATTCATATCATCTAAAACATTTTACCCGAAGAGCTCTCAAGTTACCTTTTCTAAAATTTTTAAATTTATAACTTAACGAAATCAGTGGCATCATTAGGTAAGGAAAGAAGGCTTAAATAAACCCTTGGAATTTTGAAAGCCCCCTCCCCCCAATCCCTGAAATATTTAATTAAAATGTTTTGAATACGGATTTTCCTTTTTTTCTTAAATTTTTTAAAGTGGCCCGGCCCTCTTCCCTTTTTCAAAATTAAAAAGATAACGATGTCTTGATGATTTTCAAAAATTTCTACCCTGAATGGAGAGGGGGGAGGAGTCCGCAATATCGTCATTAAAATTGAAGGGGAGGGTTAAGTAGTTATAAAGGTGTTATCGTCATTTGAATTAAAATTGGAGTGGAGTAGTTTAGTTTTGATTTCATTTTTTTTACTAATTTTGACTTGGATTTTCTCTTTTTTGTTAAATTTTGATTTGAATTTCCCTTTTTTGGGAATTTAAATTTGGTAGGAGAGGATTAGGAGGGGGATTTTTAAAGTGTGTATCGTCATTAGCTTGGGGAGGGGGTGATAGATGTGATCAAATATATATTCCTAAAAATAAAAGTAATTTTTTTTTTAAATGGGAACTTATGCAGGGTTCATTGTAAAATTTTGTCAAGATATTTTATCAAAATTTAAAAATATATTCTTATTATTTAATCTTAAACATTATTATCACTTAGCGAAGATGAGAGATCCAGTTTTTGATTTGGACCAATTTAGTTCGGTCTTTGAAATCGGTCGTAGGTTCGGTTATAAACCGTTAAAAAATTATATATTTAATTTATATTATCTTATTTTTTAAAATAATTATCAAATCTTAATATAAAACAATATTAAGAAATTTGAATGTTGCAGTAATAAAAAAAAATAATAAATAAATACTTTCTGATTATTATTGATATTTACCGAATTTCTTGAAAAGGAAAGAGACAATACTATACGAGTTAATATATTTTCCCCTATTTTATAAATTATTTGCATCGCGATAGGGTCCCAAATGATGACTTGTATAATTTCCTTTTTTATATTTATGATGTTAATGATAGATATGGTGAAATAAAATTATATCTTCTTACATTTAGAAAATAAATATATAAATAAAATTATTCCCATCACTTAAAAAATAGAATAATAACAAAAACAATCAATAATATCCGTTTAGATTCTCAAAAAACTTATGTTTTTTTATCTTTAATTTTCAAAAATAAAACCTATTTGAATTTTAAATATAATAAAAAGTTTTTCTCCATAAGAGAAATTCTCGTAGTAATAGACCTGTACCGCCGCCGGACTTTTTTGCAAATTATTTGACGCCGATTTAAACATTATCGCGCCGTTTGCCCGGCATATAAAAATCTTATTTTTATTATTATAGATATAAATTATTATTAATTACATTAATATTTATTATGATTAATTACTGAAATACTATTTTATTAATTCAACAATTCTTTTCTCAATTAAAAAAATAAATCTGATTTATATAAAATCGTAATATATGAATTAATTTTCAGCAAAAGTTAAAATATTTTTAATTCTAGAGCTTTGTTAAATTATATATTGATTTAAATTATTCTTTTTAGATCCTTTAAAAGCCCAATCAATAAATGTAACAGAAAGTTTGAATGGTTATGGGTGCAAGATCGATTCCAAGGAGAAATGTTTGACTAGGTAAATATAAATACCACATAGGTTTGAGACATAGGAAATATAGTTAAAAGATTGTTGCATTAAGATTTAAGACTTCAGATCTAGAAAAAGTCATTAATTCTGGAAAAGAAAAAAATGAGCAGAAGAAATAAACACACAACCTCGGAAATAAATATATTCGATCTGGATGATTAAAATTCATACTAGAAGAACGGGTTGAATTTGATCAAAGTGATAATGATACATATATACACGAAAGAAGAACTTTAAAACTAAATCGTCACTATATGATGTCATATCATTTTAATGATATTAGAAAGTATGATTGGAACCAATGTCTGATTATTATCATTATACCTTTTCTTTATCAAAATATATGCAATTTCGTATTATAATTTACAAATATTATAATTTTTATGAGGTATTAGTCGCACTGTTAAATTCTCATATTTTAAAGTTAAATATGATGAATTGAATTGTTACCTTAAAGAAAAACGTTTCACACCTTATATTCAATTTTTATGTAAATATATAATCGAATTATTGACTTATAAAGATATGAAACAAACATTAACTCAATACTCATGTGAACAACGATATACTGAAAGTTATATTTTTTCCTTTATCTTAACCGGTAGATAATGTTAAACTTTTGGGAATACTTATAGAACTTTCTAGACTTTCGGTTCTAGCCAGAAAAATATTCTGATACCGACTGCAAACTTCTAAAGTTGGTTTTCAGTGATGGGCTTACTTTAAATTCAAGAAGATCTTTATTATGCCCTTCCCTTTTAAACCTATACACGATAATTATAATTCAATAAAAATTTAATTCCTAATGTATTTATATTTGTTATAATAATTAGAATATTAATTTTGTATTTGTATTAAATATAAATAATGGTTTATATAAATTTGAATAGGTACGGAAAATAGCTTTTTTTATATATAAAGTTAAATAATAAAATTTGAATATGAATACGAAGAGATTATATGATGTAAATTTTAGTAGTATAAATATAGCGATAAAAAGATGTAATATCAAGAAGAAAAAAATTTTATAAATTTTACTTTTTAATTTTTGTTATGATTTATTTAATTACAATTAATATTATTAAATAAAGTAATTAGTAGTTAATTTAATTATTCTATGTTATTTTGTATGCTCTAAATTCTCATATCAAACATTGTTGGCAAAACCAGTATGTACTATGATGCGCCTACCTTCAGTCTAATTAACTCTGAAAAGAAATTCTAAATAAAGGGGGAAGGGGATGTATGAAATGATCATTGACACGATAAAGAATGAGAGCAAAGAAACAATGGTATCAATATCCCGGCAAATAATCGTAGTTCGAAAAAGTACATAATTAGTCGTTTTAGTCTCAAGAGATCGTGATTGTTAAAAGGGTCACAAGAGATCGTTATACGTACAAATGATCGTTTTAGCTAAAAGAAATTCGTTATTTTTATTAAAGATATACGTTTAACCGAGAATTAAGTTGATAATATTTAGCAAAATATTAGGTTGTTGATTAACCAAAATCTTCATAAAGAGAGACAGCTTTCATCATTAGAAAATTCATGCCGCAATCGAGCTCATTAGAGATCGGATTTTTATTTGGGATCATTTAAGATACAAGAAATAGTTATCGTATAAGAGATCTTTATTACAAGAAATGGTTATTGTTACAAGAGATTGGTATCGGTAGGATCACGACAAGAGAGAGTATGTTATAGAAGAGCGTTATCGTTATAAGCAATCTATCGTAGACATGAATGTTCAAGCTGTAATCAGACACGAACGGTTTTTAGAAATAAGAATACAAGCAAAAGACAGCTGTAGTTATAAATTAGAATACATTAGAGATTAAGAAGAATAGATTTGGTGGATAGTTGTTCATTCGCAAAAGGGTGGATCCAACGTAAATGGAAGGGTATTATAATAATTATAACATTATTATTTTTATTTGTATTAAATAGTGGTTTATATCAATTTGAATAGTTACGGAAAATAGCTTTTTTTATATATAAAGTTAAATATTAAAATTTGAATATGAATACGAAGAGATTATATGATGTAAATTATATATAAAGTTAAATATTAAAATTTGAATATGAATGCGACGAGATTATAATGTAAATTTTAGTAGTATAAATATAGCGATAAAAAGATGTAATATCAAGAAGAAATTTTAAAAATTTTTATTTTTATTTTTATTTTGCTTTTTAATTTTTAATTTTTGTTATAATTTATTTAATTACAATTAATATTATTTAATAAAGTAATTAGTAGTTAATTTATTTATACTATTTTATTTGTATTCTCTAAATTCTCATTCCAAACAATATTTATTAAGTTTTATTTGAAAAAATTTCAGATAAATGATTGATTTTAGTGTTCATGTAAAAAATTAAATAAAAAAAATCGAAAATTAGAGATCTGCAAAGTTAGGCCCGGCCCGTACCCTGCCCGTTATTTAAAAAAATCGGGTTCGGGCCTGGACGAGCCTAATATTTTTAAAAAAAATTCGAGCCTGGTTGGTTCGGATCTTGGAAATTTTTTAAATATATCTAAATTTATCAATTTTACATTGAATTTTTTATGTAAAATAAAAATATTTGATTTTATTTATTGAAACTAAACGACATATAACATATGTCTTTTATTTTGAGTAATTATAAAAAATTAATTTCTATATTTAAATAAATTCGGGCCGGGCCGGCAAAACATTTTTAAAATAAATTTCAGGCAGGACCGGGCTCGAAAAATTAGGCCCGATGCAGATCACTGTCGAAAATAATGTTTCAAGGTAAAAAAAAAATTTGAGGCGCTACCCCAATATAAATGGCGATGTAAAAATTGGATGGCCGACCTACCCTTGTAAAATGTCACCCGGTAATTTTTTTATTCTCAAAAAATAGTGTTGACCAAATCAGGCTAAAATTTCTACGGGCCGGGCCGAAAACTACTATTAAAAATCTTAATGGGCTGGTTCAGGCAGGACCATGAAGATCTCTAAATGCATTTATATGAGTAAAGGAATAAATAATAGCATGCTTTATAACTTGGTTATCGTGACGTTCCCCTGTTGCCACCATCGTACCTTCATAATCAACCGTTAAACTTTATATAGTTAATAATAAAGAAGGATGTTTAAAATATGTTGTTTTTTATTTGTAAGGGTTACAATTTATTAAGGCGATAGCTAATTACTGACCGCGAAAAATTTCTTTTCAAATGAATTATCGCAAAAGCACTATTAGAGGGCATTATTATTTTTACACACAAAAATAGCTAAAAACATTTAAGTGAGCATTTAATAGATCAATTTAATCTGAGATATGCAAAGCTCGGCCCATCCGATAAATCTTTGAAATTATTTATAACGGGTTGGGATATAAAGACATATAAATAATTTTGAAACAATATTAAAATTAACAAAAATATATTAAAGAATTAAAATATATTTTAAATAAATCAAAATTATTCGAAAAACTTAAAATTTATTAAAATTTAAAATTATCAAAAAATAAAATTTGGGCACTGTATGTGTTAGCTAAAATAACAAAGAGATAATTTATTTATGCAAAAAAATCACAGTTTTTGCAAGAGGCCAATATTTGTTTGAATAAGAATACTGTATGAGTAAAAAAAGCATATTTGATAGGTTTAAGCATTGCAGTATATTTTAATTTTAAAATCTGTAAATCAGATTTTAATACCAATTGAAATGAATATTGCAGGACATTTAAGAAAAGATTCTTATTTTATGTAGATATAGAATATAAAATAATAATATTTTAATTTGAAATTTACTTTTTATTCAATCTCCTCTACAATTTTTTTTCAATTTGAAATTTAATTTTTTATTCTTTCTGCAAATCTAAAAAATTTTGAATCAAGCTTGGGAAACTATAATTCCGTTATATATGAAAATTTATCACTCATTATTTTCAGTGAGATTATTATAATTAAAATAAAATACTATCTCAGGATGACCATTTTTTACAATGGCTCTATGTAAAATTAAAAAATGAGGAGATAAAATGAATACTATAATCCTATACCGACAATGCACTAATATTATTATTTTAAAAAAAATCAAAAATTCTTGAAGAGGGTATTCTGTTTCCCTTGCTATTTGCAAAATTTTATCAAAGGTTCATATATTGGGAATATATGAAGGTGTAGTTCACAAAAATAAAAACAAGGGATATAAAGTATATTCATTCAGGAATCAAAGCTTTATATACCCAGGATTTCTTGTTTCCAATTTTCTAAAACGAGATAAAAAAAAAAAAGTAGACTCAAAATTTTAACTTTTTAAAAAAATATTTTTATTTTTAAAAATCACTACCTATACTTAGTTTAGAATCCAAAATTGCATTCTTAATATGTTTTTGCGGTACCGCATTCATGATGCATTTATGGTAATTCAATCGGGAAAATATTTCGCGGTAATTAACATACGCGTTAGTCGAATTCGGGATAACGTATTTCGTGTAATATGGTCGATATTGAATTTCAAAGAATCAGTTAAAATTGATATTTAATTAAGATTTACCAAGATATATGATTTATATGTTGAAGAAAATATCTTTGAGTATGCAGCCATGGAGAATATATGACCACTATAGAATCGATATAATAAATGAGTTCTTCACTTTTCAACACGTTGATAGCAGGTTGTAAGTTATCAAGATCACTGTTTTCGTTAATGAATCCATACCTTTTTTTAAAAAATTAAACATAATTAATTTAAATTAAATATTGTATGTAATAAACTTGTTATATAATTAAAAAACACTTACACCCAGGATAATGCTAAACATTTTTCTTTCTTATCTACAAGATTATCCATAGAACAAAATAATTACCTAATAAATTTTAAAAATAAAATGAATATAACTCCGTAATTTTTTTTGCATTTAAATAGATCATAACTATTTCCTACAATTAATCTAAATAAAAATTGAAAATTATAAATATATAAAAATTATATTTTAAATAAAACCTTATTAGCTATAGAATGGTAAAAATCAATAATTATTTATTGTTATACTTATAAAACTTTTTATTTTAAATTTCTGATCAAGATCTATTATGTTATACATTTATAAGAGATCTTTTTAAATTTTATCCAATTAAATAGAGAATTTTTATTAATAGTATATATTTAATTAACCATAAGATTTTTATCTGTGCTAAAGTTAACGTCATTAGTTATGAGGTTCTTTTTTAAGAAAAGGAGAAGTTCATTAGTTACCTTTTATTGAAAAAAAAACGAGTATCGAACTTGATATTTTTTTTTATTTTTAAAAAGAGGAAGCTCACTTACATATAAACCAGTAAAGCTAAGAATTCAAATTTTGTTTTACAAGATCATTATATAAAAACTATATAGTGTTTCAGAAGATTTAGAATTTTGAAATTCGGCAAGAATCTTTTTTTAATTTTCAAATTATTTATTTAGATTAATTAACATTATTTTTTTCATTAACTAATATAACTATAATTTATTTACATATTTAATGGTAATCATTTATATATTATTTGATTCAATATATTAATGGATAGTATACCAAATTAAAAAAAAAATTATTTACCTTTTCACGTAAAGAATAACATTTCAAAAATGTTAATAAATTTTGTGATTCGTCGGATATTTTAAATCTAACTTTAGTGCAGAAATTTTTAGAAACTGATAAGGTCCCATCAGTGTTGAAGTCGGTTATATTGCATCTTACAATTTTTTAAGATTTTCTATACACTTTCCTGTATTTTTAAAAGTAAAATAAAATCTTGGTTAAAATTTGTTAATTCGCACCTTTTAATGTCATGTGATTCCATGTCTGCTCGCGCAGTTATTCTCATATGGTATTTTGTGTATAAATATGAAAATATGATAAGTTAAAGTTGGTCGTCAATGGGTTAAAAAAAGAAACGCTTTATAATTAAAAAATTTTTTTTGGCTAGGATACTTTGTAAAATATTGGTCAAATATATTTTTAGATGTTAATGATTTTATTAGTTAAAGGACTAATAAAATTAGGGCTAGTTAAATTATGCACGAAGGTATAGAAACTCATATCATAAGAGAGCAAAATACCTAACAACATTTTGTAAATATTTTTAGTCTCTAACATTCTTTCGAGCAAAGTCGATTTTAAAGAGCATTAATTTTTTTAATAAAAAGAATTTTGGCGATGTCCTGATTAGACGTAATTTGGATTAAGTAATCCTTTATTTAGTATAGACTGAAAAGCTTTAGCTAGGAAACGCTATTTTGGTTTGTTTTAAGTATTTGGTGGCATTGTTATTTTTCATATTTTATTCTCGTTTTTTAAATTATTCTTATTAAGTAAAAGTCGACCTAGGACAGGGCCTCTATACCTATTTTTGAATAAAAATAAACTTATACTTTTTTTATAGAAAAGAATACTATGAAATATTCTTTAATTTTACATGGATAATTTTTTGCTTTATATGATTTGGAAAGTAATATAGAATTAAATTCTTTTCTAAAATGACCATCATTGTGTTATCTTAAAAACACTAAGAGGAAATTTGTTCATTGGTAAAAAAAATATTAGTTAAAAAATGTAAATCTGTGCATAATTGGTTAGAACTTAGAAGGAACATATTTTATAAATATTTTTTACAATGAATGATGAAAAAAGTAAATTAACCACTAATATTTTAGACATCTCCAGAAATCAAGTCACTCGCGCTCTAAAGATTGGAAGAAATTTTCCCAAAATCGAACATTCTCATATTAAATATACTTTAGAAAAAATAGATAATGAATGTTCCACATCATTAAAAGAATTAAATTAAAATTACTTTTTTGTGTGGATGTTAACAATAAGCTGACAAATAAATTTATTTACTATTTATTCAAGAGGGATCAATTCAGAGAAACTTTTATCGTGAATGAATTTTATAGTGACCCCGAATCCACATTAGCAAATATTCTTTTTATAGCTAAACTCTTATCGGGAACTCTTTTCTGCTAATAGATAACAGCAAAACTTTTATCGTAAATCAATAATAATCGCTAAAATTTTATGACGAAATCATTATCGCGAAACCCGCGACGAAAATATAACGAAATCTATTTAGCGAATCATATATCGCGATAATTGCTAATGGTGACTATTTTAAAACATAAATTTTTAAGACGATATTAATTATTTTTAAAAATAGGTTGAAATTCGATTAAATGGAAATGCTTTTAATTTTCTTTTAACCTTAATAAATTGGTATGATTATTGAGCTTAGAATTGTTTTAGAAATTTTTTTTATTTGAATATAATTTTCTATGCTACCCTGTCCTATGCTTTTCTTCTAAGTCTTATTTTGTAGAAATCGCGGTTTTAAGAATAACATTAAGTTCATTAGTTAACCTTGATTTACTGGTGATATTTGGGTTGCGGCAATATTTATTGCCTGATTAGTTTATTATTTATTAATTCAAACAGTTTTGCCAGTTGCTAACAAAACCGAGGTGTATTCTATATAAAAAATCTATAATTACCGGGTTTTAAATCTTGATTTAAAATATTTTTAAATCTCCTGATTTTTCGATCTTCATATAGATATTTTTTTTTATCTTTTCTTATTATTTATATATAGAAGTAAAATAATAGTTCTATTTTCAAAAAATTTGATAGGAATCTAATAGATGCAGCCTTAAGCATTAATTTTGCCAAATTTTTGAAGGCACTAATTATGAAACTTAAGTAAAATGTAATTATTACAATACATGTTAGTTTAGTGCTTCAAGCCGTTTGGTAGACTGTATAAAGCCATAATTGGCATTCATTAAGATTGAACAAAAAATATAAACGTAGTTTTAATAAATTAGTTTAATTTTAATCTGAAAAAGAGCATTGCAAAAATTGAATTCTGCAATAATTAATTATAAACTTTTTAGTATTTTAAAAGATTATATTATTTCGCTCAGGATAAAAACGAAAACGTTAAACTTAATTACTCGATTTAAAACTACAAGCAATTTTTACTTGAAAATAAAAACTGAAATTTTCTCTAATTTGATTTCTCAGAAAATATAATATATCGCTAATGATTTATTATAGATTTGGATAAGGGTGAATAAACTTGGATCCATTTTTAAATAATGAATATTTTAAAGTTGATTTTATCTATCAGCATATTGATCTTTCTATATAAATTTATAAATTACATTGCTGCTTTCCTTCTATTTTTTTAATCTATATTTTATTAAAAAATTTCTATTATAATTTATAATACACTATAAAAATAAAATAAAATTTCATAATTGTATTCCTAAAATGAAACCATTATTATTATAACAAAATTTTACCTTTTATATGAAAGAAAAATTTTTTATAAACATTTTTTTTTCAAAATTTGGAATGGAAAAATGAAACCGTTTTTTTAAAAAAATTTGGAATGGGAAAATTAAAACTTTGAATTGAATAATAATTTTATTATTTGCGGGAATTGAATATGAAGAAAATTTTAGGGAACTGGCTAAAAAAGATTTCCAATAAATATTATAAAAAATTGTTATTTATTTTTTTTTATTCATAAACATTTAGATACAAAAATAATGCAATCATAATTTGTTAACATGTGCCTTGTTAATTTAAAAATATCTATAAAGATACTCATAATATACACACGTAACTTTTTAGGCAGAAACATAAAATTTATTTTTTCTGATCATAATAATATCCCAATTATATTGTAAATGAAGATTTCCTTTACTATCTCCCAAAAGGGTCTATTAATTTTAATTCAGATTCTTTGCTAAATATGATTTTTCTTTTATCCTTGCGTTATACTTCTTAATGATAACCTCGAGTTTTTAAGATTAGTTAAAAAAAAAAATCTTAAGAATTCTGTACGTAGAAAAATTCTGCCCCCTTATATTTAATAATTTACTAATATTTGTATGATCAATACTTGTAAATGAACGAGTTTGTGAACGAAGTTCATTTTTTTGAAAAAAATGATGAAAGGTGTTCCTTTCATTTTTAACGAACTTTGAGCCTGCATGCGTCCTTTTTTTTCTTTGACGAACTCGTTCGTTTTTTACTTTCGTTATTTTAGTAATTATTATTTCTATTCATTTGAAAAAAAATTAATTTATTATTAATCCGAATTTTTTAAGAAACAAGATTATTTTTTAATCAATTGTTTCCTTTATCACATGTGAGTTATTTTAGCCAGTCACTATTCCTGTCTTATAGTATAGGTTATTAACTTGTATCATTAATATTATATGGGATGTTGTTATTTCACCATTATCATCTGATGCTGAATTCAGAATCAGATGATGATACATTACTATAGTCCAATATAATAATCAAAGCAACATAATAGAATTCTACCTTTACCAAATGTAAAATGTCATAGAGTATAATCAAAATCTTCAAGTTCTAATTTTAATAGATAATTAATTGTAATATTTATTATTTTATATATTTATAAGTATTCTGTTAATATTTTATTTTAGATTGTTGTATAGGCTTATTAAATTATTATGGCTGTTATAATAGATGCATAGTTGATATAATATCTTTTAGAATTTAATTTTTTTAGTGTGATTATTTTAAATTTCGCTATTATTTTTAAGTTTTTATATTTTAATAGATTGTTGAGGACTGACATTGAACTAATTATTTGAGGATACTTGGAACACAATTTAAAATATTATATATTAAAAATTATAAGGAATTATTTTTTTCATAGATAAGAATATTTTTTTATATTAAATTAAATATCAAATGAAATTTAACAAAAATTTATTCATAAGTTTCGAACGAACGTGAACGCGTTCCTATTTTTGGAGGGGAACGTTGCGCGTTCGATTTTCTTAGAAATGTTTACAGCACTAGCGATTACTATAGGTTAAACTATAATTATAAACTTTACATCTATCTAGACTTAAAGACCAAAGAAAATATTGATATAAAAAAATTGATCAGAAATTGTTTCATGAAAATCGGTTTTATACCTCCATTTCACTATTAATATCTATGTTATATAGATGAAAATTAAATTTCATTTCTCAATTAGATACAATACGATTTTCATTATCTAAAAATAATAAAATATTATTAAAAACGAACATAAAAAAAATTTACATTGCATTGCACTTTTGATTTTATTGAGTTTCTACTTACAGTGTTTTGGTATCTTAACATAGGCCAATATAATAATAATTAAAATAAATCGGTTATAATTTTACTTTTGTTGAAAAAATTCAAAATATGATATAAAATTTTGATTTCTAATATATAATATAAAATTTTGACATCTAATACATGATATAAAATCTTGACTTAATAAACATTAAAAAAAATTGTAAATATAACTGATTAACAATATAATTATTATTTATATAATTCTTTATTTTATTATGCTTTCTCTAGTTTGAAAATTAACTGATTTTTATAAATAAAATAATATAAAGGAAAAAAAAGATTCATGTTTTAATTATTTTTTAATACTATGTCGGAACCTGTACCTATAAATCAAGAGATTATCATCTGTGAGGATACAATTATTTTGGGACTGTTTTAATTGTTGGGAAGAAAGGGATGAAGGAAGACTAAAAGAATATTGCTGGGTGATTCTATTAAAATCTCTGTTCCATAGCACCAAATTATCCATTACCGATGTCAAGTGCTGAGGTGGAATTTTATTGATTTCCTGTGTTTTGTTATTTTATTAATTAAATAGTATGCAAAAAACATATAATTCAGAAAAAAAAAATGCAATCAATTTTTACTAAACGACAACCTAACATATAAACAAAAAGGAAATAGTTATAAGCGCTCTATTATCTAGTAGAAACTAATAATCAATTTATATATAGTTAAGTTACTTTCAAATCATCAGGAAGTTTGATATCTTTGTGGTTTGTCTCTAGATCTTTGGCCAATTCAATTAGTTGGTAATAAGCGCTATAAATAAATAATAATTACCTTTCTGTTCAAAAATTGTTCGTATTCAATAGAAATTTACGAATACACAAAAGAAAAAAATTTCATCGAATTGTATACTAACACTATTAAAAAATATTGAGTATAATTAGATCAATGTGAATAAAAACTAAAATAATGGTGATATATATTTTAAAATTTACTATTAGCAGAAAAATATTAAGAATAAAAAAATAACCATTTTTCTATAATATACGAATTTCATCTTATCTAATCTTAGTTATATTTAATGACGGATTAATGATCATATAAATACGATTTAAATTTGTAAAGATTAAGGGTTTAAAAATAATATCTAAAAAAATTATAAATCCGGGCCGCAGTTTATAATAATTCTTATCGGAATTGAAATAGTTGGACATGACTTTTTATTAGTCGGACAACGAAAGATCTAGTTCAAAGTAAATCATATCTTAATATATTAGCCTGGCTAGATAGTAGGTTCAAATTTTCAGAACACATATTAAGTATGATATAACTTTAATTAATGATGATTGTATAATAATTAATTTTATTTTAAATATAAAATAAGTGCGGCAAGAAATTTAAAAAAAATACAATTACTTTTATAACTAAAAAGAAAGTATCAATAAAATGGTTGTCAAATTTACAAAAGATGGATATCTATTATAAAAAATGGTCTAAATTACAATAATAAAAGATAAAAAAAACATGAGTTAAATCCGATTGAAGAAGATAAAAAAAACCATAACGAATTAAATCCGATTCAAGAAAATCGTTATAAAGGCTCGGTTACGGTTGATAGAATTATAAGGATTCGGTTGAGATTAACGGTTCGCTATGGATCTCGGTTATATACTACTATAACTTATTTGAAAAAATGAAGAATGATTCTAGAAAAGTTTATAGTCAATGTTAATATAAAATTTCAAAATATTTACTCTATTCCTCGTTTGATGATGTCAATTGACAGGTTGTTCATACTGGTGTTTTATTTATTTAAAAACATTATAAATATAATATTATAATTAAAGCAAGATTTTTGCAAATATCAATTCAAAAATTGAAATGTTTAACGTCTTTGCAAATTAATATCAAAAATCTCTACAATTAAATAATATAAAATGGATTATTTTTTAAAAAAAATCATTTCTGTGGATCCTATAATCGAATTGCTCAATAAATTTTTTAAAAAACATCGCCCACACAAATAAATTTAATTAATAAAATATACGAAAGAAATATCTACTAATATAATAGTCATCACTAAAAAATTATATGAAATCTACTAGGTATAAAAAAAGAATATAATTTACTCTGCCTGAGTAAAATTTAATCTTTGCGAAGAACTAAAACTTCCCAAATCTTCTTCACATTTATCAAACAAATCATTTTGCTCATTGAGATTGGAATTTTTATTTGGTATCGGCACATTATTATCATAGTTGTTAATATGATTGTGGTTATTATAATTATTTGTCGGAAGTACTATGTCCTTTAGCATATGCTCGGCGCATTTTTCAGAATTTTCGAGTTTGTTTAAAATTGATGATAGGAGTGTGTGATGTTCTTTATTCTGGATCTATGTATCAATTATGAGTTTTAAATAAAATATATATAGAAAAAATAAATGGATGGAATCGTATCTTTATTTGTTTACATTCCTAGTTCAATTAATAAAACCTATGTGAGGCTCTATTAATAAAAAAATATATTATAGCATTTCATGGTAACCTTTTTATATGTATAATAAAATATCAAATGAAAACAAACTATTAGATAGTTAGGTGCAGGAAACGAATTTGGACTGCTACTTTCCTGGAACGTATCGCCAGAAATAGTAGACAAAGGACTATGTTTCGATATATTGTTTAAGGACATATTGCCCATACTAGATATATTGTTGGATATTCTAGGCTTCTTGCTCGCCGTTTGTTCATTGAGGTTAACACCGATCAACGATTTATTGCTGACTAAAGTTCTTTCACTTTTTTGGCATTTTTTGTTGTTGAACCGGCCCCTAAGGAGCGTAACTTCATTAGTTGAATAAGATGCAGAAATTATCCTCTCTTCTTAAGTTTAAGAATAAGTAAATGATTTTATTTGTTGTTTTTAAACAGTGGGGAAGAAATTCATAATTATTAGAGAAGGTCAAAAGTCCACCCCATCCAAACGGGAATGTCTCATAAATGCTAAACCGGATATGTTTGTAAGCAATTATTATATTTTCATTTATAGTTTAAAAAAAGGTTTAATAATTGTTGTGAGTGAATGTTATTTATTCTTTTTAATTAAAATATGAGCATTTGTTGAATTATAATTTTTGCGAGTAATATAAATTATATTTTGGGAGTTCAAGAAAATTATTATATGATTAAATTTGACTGTTACTAGTGGAAAAATTAGAAGAATTATTATATAGGCCATCAGAAGATAATTTTTTTTATATATTTTATTATGTAAATGATATATTCAGGATTATATTATACGAGAAGTAATTTTAGAAATTTGTTTCTTTTCCTTTTTACATTTTAATTTATCTTTTTTAGATTATATTTTTTTGACTTTTAATTTGGTTGTATTAAGAAATTAAGGGAGATGTGATTGATTGCTAAAAGTATTTAATTTTATATTTAATTATTATTATTTTAGCAGCCTTCATTTTACATGCTTTAAGGATCATTCAAATTCTTACTTCTTAAAGTTTTATACCGCGTGCCAACAGTTCTCTTTACAATAGTATTATCAAAATTAGCATAAAATTAAATAGTTCATAATATTTTTAAAATTTCCAAAAAAATTAATTATACTAGAAAATTGTTAATAATCACCGAGAGTGGCGTGGCGTAACCAGAATATTTCCAAGGGCGGGTGAGGTTATGCATCTAATATTTTGATTAGGTATTCTTTTCCCCAGTTATTTTTATGAATAATTTTAAAATGTATAGTTGTTACGCTTCTTTCTAAAAAGAGGTAGCTCCCCTAGCTCCCGCTACTGAGTTTGAAAAGGAGCGCACTCCCAATCCAAATTTTAAAAAAGGAGCGCAGCTTCTTAGCCGCTACTTCGATTTTAATTTTTATAATACAACGTAAATAAAAACTTTTTATTTTTTTGATACTAAACAAGGACTCAACAGGAGCACTAGAGGGAGGAGTGGCATTATTGTGGTATTGTTTTGTTAAATATATTATCTTTCCTATAATCAATTTGATTCAATCCTAAAAAAATCTTCTAAATCATTGGAGTATTTAGATGTAATTGTAAGTATTTTTGTGTTAGAAATTAGATTTCTACATATATATTCTCAATTTAAATTGAACTTATCATCATTAGGGATGTATTGTTAAATATATTATCTTTCCTATAATCAATTTACTCAATCAAAATCTTCTAAATCATTGGAGGGTATTTAGATGTAATTGTAAGTATTTTTGTGTTGGAAATTAGATTTTTACTTATATATTCTCAATTTAAATTGATCATCATTAGGGATGTAAATTTCGCTGGAAACTATAATTAAGAAAAATTTCTGAGAAATTTTGGGGAAAAACGGCAAAATTCCTTTAAAAATTTTTTTACAGGTCAATATTGCTTTTTTTTCATGTTTTATTAAAAATATATAGACTATAAATATATTATTTAAACAGATATGATATAATTTCAATTAATTATTTAATCTGTTATCTTCTTTTGAAACGATTCCAAAAATGAAATCCACAATATCTTGGGTCAAGTGTATGAGCAAGGGTAATGTATGTACCAGCACAAAATATTTTCCCGGTTTTTTTAAAATTGTTCAATCTCTATAATTTCGTTCCGTAAGAAATCTCTCTGATATAAATAAATGCTCGAGGAACGTCGATAAGTTTGATTTGTCCGCTTCCACTTCCTCTATTTGTGTAGAAATTACTTTATAAAATTGTAAAGATGTACAAAATCATTTAAAAACTTAATTATCAGGAAGATTAAGTCTCTTATCTCTATAAAAATATTTCGACTGGTGGCCTAGTGGGTTATGATGTAGGCTTGGAAACAGAAGGTCCCGGGTTCGATCATGGTAAGGAACGTAAAAATTTTCCGGTTTTTCTTCGATAACTGATGTGTAAAGACATATGGTAGGATGATTTTCGGAGCTTAGACACCCCGGTCAGCGACAGGCTTGGACAGCCGGGTGCTAAGGATACTAGTCCAATAAACAAAAATGAAGGACACAAATGAAAATACGAATATGAAAGCTAGGGCGTTCCCTCCAAGCGACGCGCAGGGTGTAGACCTCCATCCTGCGAAAAGTAAAATAAAGGTCAAAGCAAAGAAGACAAGGTTAGCAAGTTTGAATATTGGGACACTTAAAGGTAAGACGAGAGAATTGGCGCCAATGTTGAACAAGAGAAAAGTTGATATAGCGTGCATACAAGAGACGAAATGGAAAGATCAGAAGACTTTAATGATTGGAGATGGGTATAAATTGTACTATAATGGAATTGTTAGCAATAGGAACGGTGTCGGCATCATCCTCAGTCAAGATCTAATCTCATCAGTAGTAGAAGTCAACAGGATCTCTGATAGACTAATGAAGATAAAACTCTGCATTGGTCAATCAATACTACACATCCTTTCAGTATATGCTCTTCAAACGGGTTGTAAAGAAGAGGAGAAAGATGACTTTAGAGCTATCCTTGATGGTGCTGTAATGGAAATTCCTAAGGATGACTAGTCATAATAGGTGGTGACTTAAATGCGCATGTGGGAAAAGCAAGAGATAGCTACAAAAGGCATCATAGTGGTTTTGGATACGAAGAAAGAAATGATGAAGGAGAGCATGTACTGAAATTTGCGCAAGCCTTCGACCTTGCCTTAACCAACACCTACTATAGGAAAAAAGACAGTCATTTAATAACATGTGAAAGTGGTACTAATCTCTCGTAGAAGATTAAAAGATGTAATAGACTGCAAAGTCATCCCAGGAGAAGGTATCGCAGCGCAACACAAGCTACTAGTCATGGATTTACACATCTCAAATAAATCCACTCAAAATAAGATAAAACTTGAACCATGCATCAAATGGGGTAAATTAAAAACAATGACAGATGCCTTTGCAATCAATGCAAACATTGAAACAATAGATTCCTCACAAGTCAGTGAAAAAATGTGGACAGACCTTTCATACAGATTCATAGACACTGCCAAATCGATACTAGGCTTGACAAGGGGAGGCAACAAATCATATAAAGAACTATGGTGGTGGAATGAAGAGGTACAAACCACTATAAAGGAGAAAAAGCCCTATATAAAATATGGTACAAATCCCAAAACCCAGATGACAAGACAAATTACAAAAAATCCAAGAGAATATAGCTATAAAGGCGGTGGCTAGGGCCAAAGCTATGGCATACGATGACATGTATGAAGAACTACATACCAAAGATGGGCAAAATAAAATATACAGATTAGCCAAACAGCGAGAAAAGAATTATAGGGATATAAACGGAGCTCCGAAAGTAATCAAAAATAAAGATGGGAAATTGATAATAAAGGAAAAAGAAATAATGAATAGATGGAAAGAATATTTTAAGGAGCTTCTCAACTTTAATCCCCACATAATACATCTAGATGAACACTCCCCATGTCAAAACCTTGTACAACCAATAACAGAACAAGAAATAATCACATGCCTCAAGCATATGAAAAACAACAAAGCTAGGGGTCCAGATGATATTCCAATAGAAAGCCTTAAAGGTACAATAAATACTGGGAAATGAAGAGATCTTTCAAAAATTGAGGCAGAGCTATCTAGTTCCTCTCTTCAAAAAAAAGGAGATCCACACAATTGCCAAAATTACAGGGGCATAAAACTAATGTCACACTGTCTTAAACTCTACGAAAAAAAAATCATAGAAAAAAGGTTAAGAGACATAATCGAAATAGGAGAGACTCAGTTTGGCTTTATGCCTGGAAGATCAATAACTGATGCTATCCACGCAATTAGGCAAATGAGTGAAAAATACAGGGAAAAGAACAAAAAGCTACACATGGTCTTTCTCGATCTAGAAAAGGCCTTCGATAGAATCCCAAGAAAACTTATCTGGTGGGCGCTACGCCACAAAAAGGTTCCCGAAAAATATATAAGAATACTACAGGATATGTATATGGGCCATACAACGATGGTCCGTAGCACAACTGGTACTTCAACATCACAATAGCCGAGGGAGTTCATCAAGAGTCGGCTCTCAGCCCACTTCTCTTCATAACAGTAATAGATGTATTAGCACAGTCTATACCACAAGCAGTCCCGTGGAATATGATATTTGCAGATGATATTGTGATACTTGCCGAATCCAAAAGTGAAATGAAAGAAAGATTAGTGAGCTGGATAAATATCCTAGAAAAGCACGGACTAAAAGTAAATAGAGAAAAGACGGAGTATATGGTGATAGGAGGAGATGAAACAGAGAGCATTGATATAAATGAATGGCAGATATCGGCAATTGAAAGTTGCAAATATTTGGGCTCCACTATACAAACAAACGGCAGAATAGAGAAAGAGATAAAAAGTAAAATTAATTAAGAATGGTTAATGTGGAGATCTTTATCTGGAGTGCTCTTTGACAAAAGAATCCCACACAAATTGAAGGGAAAAATTTACAGTTCCATAGTACAACCAACTATTCTATATAGTTAGGAAACATGGCCAACTAAAGAATCAGACGAGAGAAGTATACAAACTATGGAGATGAGAATGTTGAGGATGATTGCTGGGTAACAAGAAAGGATAAGGTGCGAAGTACGAGAATACTAGGAAGTTTAAAGGTAGTAGTGCCCATTAATACTAAGATAATGGTAAACAGACTTAGGTGGTATGGGCATACAATGAGAAGGCCTATGAACTACATAGGAAATAAGGTTGAGAGTTTGGAAGTGATGGGTAAACGTAAAAGAGGAAGGCCAAAACTTCAATGGGTCTATAAAGTTAGAGTTAATATGAAGAAGTATAAATTAGATAAACGAGATAGTATGAATAACATAAAGTGGAGAGAGATATTGAAGGAGCTTACCACCAGAAAAGGTGAAAGCTAAAGAGAAAAAAAAATCTCTATAAAAATATAGAAGATTGCGGCAAAATATTTTTATTTTTTAACAGACAATTAATTATAATAGCTATACAGTCCAGAGAGTGGGTGGGCTAGACAACTTTAATGAACAATCCTATTTTAATCTTTAAATAGTTGTTTTCTATAATAATTTGGGATTTGCTACTAAAATTTAAATTGTCAATATTTCATTTGCTAAATCCTTTAAAGCAAATTAAGTCTGAGATGCAGCCCCATTGCATTCGATAATTGAGTTCTCACAAGTGACCAGGCTTTCTTAATTACTTGTATTATTTATTTTGATGTTAATTTTCGAGTTTCTTATTTCTATAATTACTCTAATAAATTCACTAGATATATATATTCTCCGTATGCATATTGGTCTATGTTTCAATTAATTTATAGAAAATGGGACTTGTGATTGCTATAATAAAATTTAAAATATATTCCACTATTTGTCCACCCATCATTAATAAGGGTCCAATTTTTATTTTATCTTATCTTTCAGTAATTGTATTTCACTAAATAAATATTTTGAGAGCAATTTAAATGCTGTTTTTAAAGATTAATATAATTTCTTCCAAATACATGTTGCATTATGGAAAAAGAACACTATAACATAAAAATGGTGTTGCAAGATTATCTACATATTTCATGAAATTATTTTTTCAGAAATTTATATTATTAGTTAAAATAAAATTAGAAAAAAGAATCTCTTTAACCTTAATCCTACTCCATATCCTTTTTCAGTTATTATTAAACATTTTAAATATATTTCAGTCGATAAAAAAATTTCCTACCGATGAACATTACTAGAGTTGAGCTATTATTTTATTATCGAAAATGAAGGTGAAAACAAAAAACATAATTATGATATATGAACCAAGAGAAAAAATATTTTTTTAAGATATGATAAAAATCCTGACTATTTTATCAAAAAAACATAAAATTAGGAAAACTATAAGGGAAATTTCCTCTATGTTACATTTCTAATCATCATTATAAGTGGTTGAAAAAAATGCAATAAAGTTATTTAAAAATATATAATTTATTTTTAAAATTATGAACTTTGTCAATACCGCGTATAAGAAACTCTATAAGAGAATGGCAAAACTCTAAATCTGCAAAATCATTTAATTCTGAAGTGAGGTTAGAAATGGTTAAAGTTAAAAACCTCATATTCATATGAAGCTCACCTTCAAGAATCGTCAAGGTTTTGCCAAATCTCCATAACTTGAAATTTATTCATTTCAAAGAAATAACGATTATATTAATATTTACTTAGCTATATTCTTTAATTCACATATTATAATCCTTTTCGCTTAATACTTTGTCTAACAATACCATGAAATTCATAATATGAATTTCATCTTGTGGTTTTGACCATATCAATTATTTTCCCTATTTTTTTATTTTATTAGTAGCAAGATTTGTAGACATTTTCGTTCATTTCATAAAGACTGACATTTTTGAAATGTGCCTTAGGATAAAATTTGAAATCTTCTATTTTATAAAGCTTTCTCCACATCAACTGTGGCCACTAAATTTATATTGTGGCAGGCACAACGTAAATGTTATGGTAGAAATCATAACCTTCTGCTTTGTTAATCAGGTTCAAGATATCGGCACGTTGAAAATTTTTCATTTCAGAACCTTAACTCTCAAACATTCAACCTCTTATAGGAGAGAAAAATATTTCTTGTACGATGGAAATGAAAATTTTATTTCATCCATTTAATATCTTCTGTATCCGGTAATACCCGCTCCATCTCAAAATAGAACGCTCCTGCTTCCAAGTTTCGAAAAATAGCAGCACTCGTTTATAGATAAACCACTTTAACAACACTGAAAATATGTAATATATGTATATCATATCCGTTAAATTGGCTGAACAATCAGAATTCTGAAATGCATTACAATATGTCGTGCTTTATTAGTGCCTATGAGTTCCTAACCAATATAGTAGCCAGTATAAGGAAAAAATTATTAGCAAGAAAATTTTGGCAAACCTTACGATTAAAAAGTGATTGAAAGCATTTATTCTGAAAATTTAATTAATGTTTAGTGCTTGTATATTATTTTAATCGTGGTTTATAGTATAAAGAAAAGAAGCTATTAACAAAATTAGAAGAAAAAAAAATCAAAATTGGTATCATGTCAGAACAGAGAATAGAATTTTAAAATATTTGATTTAGGTTAAAATTCAAAGCCTTGCTTATTAATTCTTCAATTTGCCAACCACAAAAATTAAACGGATTATAAGCCAAACATGACATCGAGCCATGTGAAGTCAGCCAAACTTCTAGAAGCAGAAACGTTTGGTGGCAGCTTAAAGGAAAAAAAAGTATCATTGGCAAAATAAATTTTAAAAAATTTCAAGAGAATAAAATTTGTAGAAGCACTGCCAATATGTAATGCCTGATTAGTATTTAAAAAAACATATTTAGTTTCTCCAGTCAATAAACAGAAACCAGTTATTAGATAAATAAAAACGAAAACGGCATGAGTTAGCTGAGTCATAAATATCAGATTTTAAATCGCCATTAAAAAATCAATTACGATATTAAGGTTACATTTTTTCAGAATCGAGATATTTGATTCTGATAATTTTACGATCTTTATAGATGTTATTTGTTCTTTTCGGTTTATTTATTAGATATAGAAGTAAATTAGTTAAAATTTCTTTATATTTTTGAGATACTTTTTAATTGAAAAAATTTCTCAGATGATTTTTATAGAAATAGAAAATTAAGGAGGGGGTTTTTAAAATCAATTTTAAAAAAATGAAAGCAAATTTTGGTCTCACAAAATTGAATCCAATTATATTTTCCATTGGGAAATTCATCCCCAAAACTCCCCTTGTCTATGCAACTTGTTACAATCAATACTCTAGTACTCATTCCTCGAGTAGGAGGGGGAAGGGGGTACGCCTTTTTTTGGAGACAAAATAACTTCATTAGCTACTTTTATGAAAAGAAACGAATAACGAGTCAATATTTTTATTAATGAAACGTTTTATGTTACTTAAGATTTTTATGATAAAAGTAGAATGCATAATTTGATTTTCTATTTTTTTGAATTTCATCGTTTAGCTGTCTTCTTTAACGCGTTATTCTAAATATAACGAGTAAAGATAGCGCGTTAATTTTTTACAAAATAAAGTTATCAGCATTTTTTTAATAATATATATTATAAAAAAATATCAAACCGTCTTTTCTAAAATCACGAAGAACCGCTGCACAAACCCTGAGATCCAGCAAAGTTTGAGCTAAAATTATGTTACTTTAAAATAAAATAATCATGATTAGCCTATTATTCGATCATTTAAAAATATGCTGTCACTCAATAACTTGTAACAAATTAATGATTATTAATCTTAAGATAAAATTAAAACAAGTTTTTAAATAGAAATTATGATGGTATATTGGAGCCTCACAATTTAAGAATTTGATTTAGTCTACTACCCTAAATCATATTAGATCGCCTGACTAAAAAAAATCCAAGAATAATTTTTAAAACCAAATTAAAAAATGTTTATTTTATAATCATATATTTATATGGTTATATTTATAAATACAAATAAAATATTTATATATATGTATTTCGATTATAATATAATGCGGATTACAGTCATGATATTCACAATAATGATATTCGAATGAAGACATTAAAATAAAATATTCAACTAGATGGTATTGTATTTATTTTTACTCGAAAGTAATTCCAGAACTAATAGAAATCCGTTTAAAATGTTTTAAAATGAATTGGAAAACATTATCTTAAACTTTCAAACTACGATGGGAAGCTTTTAATATTTCTTTCGAAATTTAACGAAACAATTGAATTTCTTTCTTCATATAGGCCCTATCTTGCATTTGGACTTTTAAATTTGAAGTATAAAAAATTACTGTAATTTATTTAGCGTTTTTCACTAAATCAAATTTATAAAGACTAGAATTTAACTTATATATATTATAAAAAAACAGTCGTTACATATATTTACGCGCGGCCGACTTTTAAATTAATGGCGGTCCAGCGTAAGGTAATTTTGTATTAAACTTTATGGAAATGTTATTTTATTAATTTAATTATCTTTACGTAATTAAGTATCTGATTTGTTAAAACTAATATTCCCACAAAATTTAAAATATTATCAACATGTTTTACTAATCTTAAATTTATATATATGATAAATTCCATATCAAATCAACCAAAAAAAGTCGATTTCAACCAAAACCCCTCAGACATTTTTTTAAATTTTGTATAATGGAAGTATATACTATAACTAAGAAAAAAATGAAATTTTACTTTACCACTTACTCACTAAGATATGGAGTTTAAAAGCGGAAAAATGGTACATTTTTGACAAAATGCACTTCATTGATTTTCAAATATCTCAAGAAAAAATTTAATTAGAATAATGATTTAATTTTATTATATAGCTAAATAATGGCTCTTTAATATGACATATAAATAAATGTGATAGATACCTGATTAATACCCAAAAACAAAAGCAGATGTATATCAGACGGCTTTATATTTGAACAAAATTCTAGACTGGGATGAACCTGGGTCTAGGAGTTATGACCCTGGCTAAAATTGATCAAACTTGACATAAATATCATCATATTTAAATTTAATGAATATTTACTTGATGTCTAAATGAAAGACCCTTATTTATTATTTTTTAAAAAAAAATATTTGAGAGGTGGTTGGTTAATTTTCTATTGAAATTACTTGGCAAAATAATTTTGAATATTTATTTTGCCATAAATCAAAAATAAAAGAAAGAAATGATTCTCGCATTACATTTTGCGTCCAAATTCGATTTCGTAAATTTCACAATTAAATATTTTTACAAAATTTTGATTTTGGATGCACCCATAATTTATTATTTGATGCGAATTCAATAGATTATATAACATTTCTGGAAACGCTGACAAAATCCGCCAACTAATTTGTAGATTATTTAGAAAAATTAAATAATTTGATCCCTCATTCTTATAGCTTCACAACAATCCTAATTTTAAAACTCATTAAAATCAAGCTTATATGTTGACGGATTCTTAGTTATTACTAACCCTTAAGAAAATTATGCATTTGTAGTGCAAGATCATTCTGATTTAAAAATAGCTAAAGGCATAAAATGTAGAAGAACAAAAGTCTCAAAATAGTGTTAAATATTCTAGGTCTTGAAATTAAGAAACACATATTAGAGGATTTGATAAATCATCATTTTTTTATTAACTGATATATCAAATAATGGAAATACTAAAATATTCCTATTAATGCTGCGCTATTTTAATTTTTAAAAAAAACCTTTCCAAGTAATAAAAAAATTTCATCGGACTCGGATTAATCGAAGGACATGCGTCTATACTTTTGCAGAACCTTAAAAATTGTAACCTCTCACTATCAAATGTAACAGCTTTTTGTGCCGATAACCCAAGTGTGAATTTCGTAAAAGGGCAAAGTGTAATGACGGAATTATTAGTTTTAAATGAAAATATTATCCCCATTGGTTGCCTGTGCCATACATTTCACAATACATAAAGAAAAGGACATGCTTTATTATCAATAGGCATAGAATAATTGCTATGAAAGGTTATACCGAATTCAGTAGATCCACAAAACGGGTATCGTTTTTAAAAAAGTTATTGATTCTCAAGATATTATCCCAACTTATTCCAACAATATGAATATCATTAATACCAGTTCTCGAAAGCTGATATCTTATTTTTTATCCCAAAAATTCCTAATTCAATATTAAAATGATTTTTTAAAAAGGTATGAGGCTTATTTAGGCTTAATTATTAATAGAGGAACGACATTAAATAACATGGTTAAAAAATTTCAATCCGAAAATTCAAATGCAGTGGAGAAGTTTTCATTAATGAATAAATTAGTTACAACTTAAAATCCCAAGTTATCAATAACCTTTATGGCTCGGTTGTAAGACAAAATCTTATAAAATGTGATGATCATAATAAAATCGCCAAAATGAAACTAATAAATTCATTAAAACAAATCATTTCTTATTTAGAAAAAAAATATGAATTTACAAATAAGCTCGAATTTTAATATAAAAGATATCGAATTAGGTGAATTGACAAATCATCTTAATAATGTGTCAGGAATTCGTTGCTTTAAATACAATTATAGAACAAAATAATAATATATCGAATTTGGCTCATTAAAACGGGTATTTTTTTTCAAAGAACATTGCGCCAAATTTTGAAAAAATATGCAATATTATATTCTCGTTACAACATTCAAACGCTGATTCAGAGCGTCTATTTAGGTTAATGAAAATTTTCTGGTGGAAAAATCGTGGCCAGTTATCTTTATCAGCATTAGAAGAAGAATTAATGATCAAACATAATTTTAATTATATGCCTGTATTGATTTTAAGGAATATGTAACAAAAAATCGAAATTTAATAATAACATAAAATCTTTTGAAAAATATGTACTAATTTTTTAAATAATATTTATTAATTTTATAATAAAAAATAATATACAATCTTCCTTTATTTAATTGTTGCATATTAGATATATTCATTTAAATAATAAAGGAATAATCACCGGGAAAAAATTAATATTATCTGTTATAAAAAAAAATTTTGAATTATATTCTCCCTCTTTTTGTTGAATGAATCTGGCAACTCTGGTTATGAACCTTTATATAGCTAAAATTGATCAAATTTAACATAAATATCATCATATTTAAATTTGATGAACTTACTTAATAATTTGTAATTAAAAATTATGTCTAAATGAAAGGGCTTTACTTTATTATTTTTTAAAAAATATTTGAGAGTTGGGGGGGGGGGGGTAATGTGGTTTATTCTTTAGTTAATTTTCTCTCGAAATTACATGACAAAATATTCTAAACCTATTTATAACTTTATTTGGCTAAATAATTTCATAATTATACGAAATACAATCAAAAATAAATATTATATAAAAATTTTGAAATATATTATATATTAAATCACCCAAAGAGTTTTAATAATTTTGACTTTCATTCTATTTTCTTCTATGGAAATAAAAGTATAAAAATTTTGTGTTCCAGAAATTTGTTTTACTTACTGTCTGTTTTCAATATGATTTTTCATACTTAGATATTCATCATTGCCCACAAATGTATAATTTATCTCTCTGATTGCTGTAAGCTTGCTCAAGCTGCTAACCGTTTAGTAACGCTCCTGAAACTATCGTGGAACTTTTAGCAGGTGTGGTTGCAAATAAATGCCACTCTTCCATTATCTCAAAATCATTTTCATGATTGTAGAAGGTTAATGAATTTTTTTTTAATATTTGATAGCTTCCCCATCAGAAAAATAATAAATTTTGGCTACTCTGCCAAATCTTTTTTTAAAAACAAGATCAATTTTGTTTGAAATAAATAATATGCACATGCGTAGGCTTTAAACAATCTGATATAACAACAAAATTTTCTTGTTTAATTAAGCCGTTTTAACAGTAATGAATCAAGAAAAGGTGAATAGTGGCCTGATTACATGTCCAATTGAATCCTTGTCTATGATCTTCAGAGTTGTTATAGTATCTAGATATATAAAAATGTGGTATCTGTATCTAGATAGATTTTTGATTAAAGTATATGTATCTATTTTTAGATACTTTTTAAGATACATTTTGATATACTTTTATTTAAAGCTTTTTTATATTATAAACAAAAATACTTGAATGCAAAATTTATTTTATTTCATATGAGCATATAATTTAAATATATATATATATTAAAACTTATACATTAAAAAAAAATATAAATATTCATTAAATATTATTATGTCAGAGTTTATCAATAAACCAGACAAATTTTGATATTACAATACAATGCAACTCAAGAAATCTGCCATTTTATTTTCAATGAAATTAGTTTATTTTATTTTATTATACTAAATTTAAAAATTTATTTTAGATTAATATTAATAGTGATGAAGAGGAAGAAGTAATAATCAATGAAGCATCAACAAGTTTAGATATTGTTTTCGTGGCAATTTATAGAGCATATTTTAAAATAATATCTCAAAATAAAGAAAACAAATCTCTGATAGTAAAATGTTTGCCATATCTACAAAAAAATACGAAAAGTTAACATTACCTCAACTTGCAACATTGTAAAACATTTAAGGGTTGATACTAAATAAATGTTTACAATTGTAATTTTAAATTTTAAGAGAAAAAGTCAAACAATGTTAATGAAAAAAACAATTAATACAAAGATTAGTTGATAAATTAGGAAGGTCTTCAACTGATTGCAAACAACCTGCGAAAAAAACAATTAATTTAATATCTTATTTTTTTCAGTACCCCACAGCAACAGATATGATTGTTAATAATGATTTAAATTTTGATACTCAACAAATTTTAAATAATTTTTTCGAAAATGAATGTCGAGATTTTAGTATTTTTAAAGAATATCCTGATATAAAATTGTTATTCATAAAATATAACATCATAATACAATCAAGTGCCCCGGTGTGGAAAGGCTTTTTAGTGTAGCTAAAAATGTATTTACGGATTAATGAGATGCCTTAATGACCAAAATTTTGAAAATATTTTATTACTGAAATCTAATAATTATTTATAATCATTTAATTATATATTTTCATATACTATATTATATTAAAATCTAAAAATCATTATTTTCGTTATATCTTGATAAATGTGATATCTAGTCAATAAAGTTTTTAGCTCATTTTATACATTTTCACAATAGAATCCTAATCTAGGTTTATGCAAAGCTTATATAAGAGTATTAAAAAATTGTATCTGTAGCTAGATACATTGTAAAAATTGTATCTGTATCAAGATAACTTTTAGACAAGGTATCTGTATCTAGATCCATTTAAAAAGTATCTTTTAACAACTCTGGAAAAGAGTATAGGCAATAAGTTTGTAGCACAATCTGTAGATAAATAACTATGTGAATGTTTTATCGTGTGATAGATTAATATCGTTTCGGGTATTGCAGTATTATCATCACATAAATTTGTGGAAATATATTTTTGCCTTGTTGAATGTTTTTTATTACCTCTTGACCATGTTTGATATTAAATTTTGTATTGCCTATTATACAAATTGTATTTATGCTACATTCTTTATCTTCTCTGACCCATGAATAAATAAAATTTGAGTTATTTTTACATTTTTTTTGATGTTAAACTTGTCTTCATAGTGCCCACAAATTGAGCGTTTCAAACCCAAATAATGCATTCGTTTAAATTACATTTCCTTCCAATTGTCCCCATTTCAAAAAAAAGTAACTTAGTTTGCTTTTTTGGATACTATTTTTTATAATAATTTAGATTTTCATACAGCAGGGGTGGCCTAGTGGTATATGATGCATGCTTGGAAACCGAAGGTCTCAGGTTCAATCCTGGTAAGGAACTGTAAAAATTTTCACGTTTTTCTTGGATGAGTGATGTGTAAAAACAATAAGATGAATTTCTGAGCTGAGAAATGCCACCCCGGTCATCGACAGACTTGGACAGCTGGGTGCTAGGATACTTGTCCATAAACCAAATGAAAAATGGCCAGCTAAACCTGTGGGCCATTTAAGGATGACAGTGATCTCTTGGCCAGCTCTAAGATAATGGTGACCTCGAGGGCCGTTCAAGCACAATGCCTACCAATCTACAATGGACTTGATAACGATACTCCAGTGGGATATCTGTCCATTTGATACTTCGGTGAGAGATCAAAATAAAATAGCCTGATAGCGATACTCTGGTGGGAGATCCAAATGGAATCGATATGAATACTCCGGTGGGATATCAGAAATATAAATTAGATAAAAAGAAATAGTATGAGTAATAAAGTGGAGAGAGATATTGAAGAAGCATAGGTGAAAGCTAAAAAAATACGAGAAGAAATGGATACTACTTTAAAAATGTAAGAATTGATATATTTATATTTTAAGGGCATGGGATGACGTCATTAGCAAAAAATTTCTCAATTATTTGTAGTAGATGAAATAATCTGGTATCAGGGACATCCTGGTCATAAGAAGTCTATGATTATAATGGAACATTTGAACATTATTGGATCTAAGTATAAATTAGTATGCTTACATTTATTTAAGGCTAGAAGAATTCCCATCATGCCAATGTCTGAAAACAAAATTAAAAATTACAAAGACCAGCTTAATAAAATTAAGATTGGTAAGAAGTCTGGATATGAAGGATCAAAGACCTCATATAAATGGTTAGAATATTTAAAATTTATGGAGCCTACAACTACTAGTAATTTTGATATTGATGAGAGTATTAAAAGAGTTAACTTATCAGCCAAAAATTAGATGAAAAATTGTTGAATCTTATAAATAAGAAGCCATCTCCAAATAGATAAAATTTATAATAATTTTAAAAGCTTATATTTTATCAAGATTATTTATTCAATTATGCTAATATATTTGAAGAGCTGTTTCACCATTTTCTATATGGTTCTATGAAATTATATGATGATGGAGTAGAGGAATTTTAGTACTTCAGATTTAATAAGTATAGATTATACATACTAAAAGCATCCATTCTTGCATTGAAAGTAGAAATAATCTTTATAAAATATATGCGTTTTAAGATTATTATAAATTTTACCTATTTGGAGATAGCTTCTTATTTATAAGATTCAACAATTTTTCATCCAATTTTTGGCTTTGGGATGAATAACTTATTTAATACTCACACCAGTATCAAAATTACTAGTGGTTGGCCTATCAGCAATCGTAGGCTCCATAAATTTTAAATATTCTAACCATTTATAAGAGGTCTTTGATTCTTCAGACCCAGATTTCTTACCAAGCATAATTTTATTAAGCTATCGCACTGTGGGAATTCTTCTAGCCTTAAATAAATGTAAGCATACTCATTTATATTTATACTTAGTTTCAATAATGGTCAAATATTCCATTATAATCATAGACTTCTTATGATCCAGATCATTTCATCTCTAAATAATTGAGAAATTTTTTGGTAAGGGGGTCATCCCATGCCCTAAAAATATAAATATATTAATTTACATTAAAAAAAATCTCATAATTTATAAATGAATTCTTAACCAAGTTATGTTTTTTGAAATGGGTGCAATTGGAAAACGGAATGTGCCCAATTAAAACGAATGCATTTGAAATGCATTATTTGGGTTTGCAACGCTCAATTTGTGCGCACTGTTAAACTGTAATTTATATATTCTTTAAATTAATGGAATAAAATTAGAAAATAAATAAATATCATGAAAAAACTTTATTTAATTAATCAAAAATTATTATTAGGCTATATACAACTATTAAAATTTTAAATAATATTGCTTACCTCTAAAATACCATTTTATATAGATTGATTTCTAAAATTATATCGATTAGTTCACCTTCTTTACATATAAATCATATACATCATCAGAATCAGAAGAATTATTATATGATTTATCATATGAATTCTTTTAAATTTAAGAGATATTAAATATTATTATTTTAATTGGAAAGTTTTGAAGATTAGAATTCTTTGTTTACTCACAATATGGCTAAAAATTAAACAAGTAAATTAAAATAAAAAATGATAGCGCAAGTTTATTTAAAAAATTTATAAAAAAATTCGGAACAATTTTTTTAGGAAAAACGGGAGATAAATCAATAGAGGGCGTATTTTACCGTAAACTATAGTGAAAATCGGGAAATCACGCCAAAAGCGGGAGATCTGGCAACCCTGGTCATAACTCCTAGACTCACGTTCATCCAAGTCTAGGAATTTGTATAAATATAAAGCAGTCACAGCTACAGAAAATTTTTTTTAGAAAAAATAATTTTTTCTATTGTTCCAGCTATAACCACTCCCAGTTAGCGTGTATTTTTTGTAGCTGAATCAAGGTGTAATAAAAAAATATTTTAAGCATTAAAACAAAAGAAAGTGAAAATAATAAAAATGAAAACAAAAGATATCAACCTTGAACTTATCTGAAAAATTCATTAATTTAAGTAATTTGCATATTATTTACTAAGATTTAAATATCTTAATGATTGTTTTACCCAAAATATATAGGACATGTAAGCCTTATTTATAAATTACGGCTTTACCACATTCTCTTTTATATATGAAAATTTATGTTGAAATTTAATAGTTATGAAAATAAAATTTATGACGATATAATTTGAATTAAGGTAGTATATTAGGTTAAAATTAACCATATGAAACTATAATTGGTTTGCAATACCCGCTGGGCCGGGTAACGTCTAAAAAAGGCAAAAAACGGGCAGGGTGGTTATACATTTGAAGAATTCTTGAGTATAATGTTTTCAATAAATAGTTGTTTATTAAGATGTTCAACAACATATATTTTGGTTTAGGCCTTATATTTCAAAAAAAATCGGGCAGACAAAATCTAAATTTCCACAGGGGCGGGCCTGAGAATTTTGTTATTTGCAGGCCACTGTAAATTATTGAGTAAGGCTAATATTACCAATTCAACATAGTATGAATTTTAAGAATACGATATTCATCATATTTATATCATGAATCATGGTGGTAAGATTAGATCAAAAATATTTATTAATAAATTTTTTCAGCTTTTGGAAGGGGAGGGGTGATTTATTTGGAGGGACAGGCTTTTTAATACCTTTGAAGTTATGACTCTGTATCTCTAGAATATATAATAATTAATTTACGTTGAGGTTTCCAAAGTAAAAACAAGTTGAACATTTCGTTTATTTATACCGCCGCTGCAGCTACTGAAACAGACAAACTGGAGAGGTATATCGATAGTATCTTCTGTGTGTATATGTATTTAAAAAAATTTGCTTTAACCGATATGTCTTGTATTTTCTCTTACTAAATCTTTGAATCAATTTTAGGATGTCATTGGTTACAAATTGATATAAAAAATTTTTAGGGTTAGCTTGATTAAAATTAATTAAATTTTTTGCTTGTATTTCAAAATTTTATTAGTTTATTGTGTTCAAATATAAGAACATCATATTATACCTCATTTTACAAATTTTTTAATTGCTAAATTTTATTAGTATCAATGATCTTATAAGTATGTTAATTCTGAAATTATCTTTTTAATTCATAAAACCTAATTTGATTTGATTTGTAAAATAAAAATTTCAATAAATTTATTGCCCTGTTTATTAAAAAAAATATACCATTTGCTGAAACTACGATTAATTTAGATGCAGTTTATATACCTATAAATTCTAGTTTACAATATATTAAATTAAATAAATAAACATTGTAAAAATTGTAATTTATTTTTTTAATGATAAATTTTATACTTAGAATCAGAATGAATTAAAATTATTATAAATTGGCAAATATTGATAAGATTTATTATAAAATATTTTTTAATTAATTTAATATTTCTAATTTAACAATTAACTTTATTATTCATAAATTCCTCAGAAAAAGAAAACAAATATTAAATAACAAAATGAATGCATGTTTGATTTTCCAGGAATATTGTTAAAATTATTCTTTTGATTTAAATCGAAAAAATTGTGATTTAATTAAATTTTTTCGATTTTATAAAATAAAATTATGATTTTTACCATAACTAAAAAAGAAACAAATTGCGTTTCCCTTCTTCAAAAAGTAACGCCGTTACTTTACAGCTAAATAAATAATAAGTGCCGATAAATGTCTTGGTAACTTTAAATTCCTCTAAATCATTTTAAAAAAATTAAGGATACTATATGTTAATAGGGGAAATGTGACATAAACGGCCATGGTTGAAGACTGGCCACCACCCTTTAACTTTTTATCTATTGGACCAATTTCTCTCAAAATTGGTCAATGTGTATATTGATGATATGTACCTTATCTAAGTTCATTTATTGAATATAACAATTCAATAAAAAAATATTTCAAATAAACTGTTTTTAGTACCTCTTTCTGGAAAAATCACCTTACACATTTTTTTGTTTGGTGAAAATATTAATAATTTAGATTATTGATATTTTATATAAATATTATCATTAGGCATTTAGCATTATTCATACAAAAAATTAGACTTTAAAAGCTATATTTAATAGACATATAAGGCGCTTAATAATAATAGAGAGGTGGGTATTGACTAGCCATGTATTGATTGGCCACAATTCGCTCATTTACATATTCATATTAAAATGAAAAGCTCTTGCAAAACAACATTTGGTGAAATAAAATGATGAACAAGCTTAAGAATGTTTAGTAAAATGATAATTAAGATATTAATTTATAATATTATCATTAAATAGATGTGGTAATAAATTGAGATTTTAATACTTAATAAATTAGTGTATAATTAATTTTTTATATAACTAAAAAATGTAGAAATATCAATATAAGTCTTTTATAAGTATTTCATATTGTATTATTTTATTTTTATAATAAAATTCTTAAATAATATATTATGGCCAGTTAACACATAGTATATGGCCAGTCAATAAATACTATGTTTTGACTGGCGAGAAAAACAACTTTCACATAACCTCACCTAGCTCATGAACTATAATACATAGAGCTTTGATTCTAATTTTATTTTAAAGATTAATATTTAGGCTACACATTGATATAAAATTTGTTTGGTTAAACATAAATTTGAATACCTTTTTTTCAAAAAAGCAAAAACATGGACATTCATGGCACATTTCCCCTACTGCTCACGATGTTAAGCACCCACCTCTGCCCATCCCTTTTGAAGCATAAATGATGCCATTAATCAAATTAATTTTCCACTAAAAATTCTTATTAAAATAAAAAATATATTAAATTCCAAGTTTGGACATTCCATTACCAAAAAAATGTTCGATATTGATAGGGATACTGACGCTAAACCTATCATGATTGTTTTCGTGCGTGCTGCATATATCGCCACTGATTACAAAGTGTTTCCGAGTTTGGGATCTACCTATGATTTTAATATAAGCTTTTATTTTTAAATAAATTTATTGTTTAATAGATTGGACTCAATATTTTTATATGGATTCGAGTCCTAATTTTGGCCTTGGATTTGATAGTGTTAGGCTGACATATGCATGGTGTTAGTTCCTCCTAAAAATATTCAAAAGATTTTTGGTTGATTCTCAGATTTAAAGCGGTTCTGAGAATTTTAGGTTCTAGTTCCAAATTCTGTTAATAAGCAAATGTAATTTTTTTAACAATTATAAAAAAAACTCCCTAAAATGAATCATTTAGTATTTGGAACATTATACATATAAAATAATTTGTAATGTTAAAACTGGTTCCTGTAAATGTTTAAATGGTTCTGATTCATTGAAATTTTAAGAGGGGTTCTGGGCACTGACTAAATTTTTTCAGGTTACTTAGGTTTCGGTTCTATTCGAATCTTTGGTTTTTATAAATGTGAAAAATAGAATTTTAAAAATTAAAAATGCATAATTTGCTGAATCGGAATCGCCAAATATTAGTTTTAGAAATTGTCTGATTGCTATAAAAAGTCGACTGAAATCGAATCAGTACCAAAATCAATCCGGCAATTAGTGCATCTCTAAAAAAATATAGTATATAAAAATAATTTCATTTCAAACCTAAGCTATCCATATTCTCGTGCAAATAGCAAGCCCTGACTGGAAGGGACATCTTATCGAAGTCTTTAAACATGGGAGTAGCTCTGATTTTCACGGAGTCAATGCCAAGGTGTTGTAAAAGGCTTTTCATATAATCGGTATTAAGACCAAATTTGAATGTGTACGTGCTGCGGGATACATATAATTTCTTCCGCTTCTGAGAAAACTTAAAAAACAAATTGTGTTGAGTTGTATTTTTATTCTTTTAATTAAGTAGTTAGAAGACTTATAATATAAAATGCTTCTTGGGTTTAATTTGAAAATCTCTGATCCCCATCTATATTTTCATGTGAAAACACATAAAAAAATAAATATCAACCTGATTCAGCTAAATTGGGCCATATGTATATAGATTCATTCGTATAGAAATAATATATTTATCCAATTGTAGCAAAATATTTAGTGAACAATCATGATAGGTTCAATCCCTCTATAGTTTGAACTTTTTTATTTAAAAAATGGTAGTCTGAAAAGAAAATAATAACTTATCAAAAAATCTGTTAGCTTTTACAACATGAAATTAGAATAATAAAAAATATTTGGAATGATAAAAAATAGGGATATGAAATCTTAGACGATCCAGGTCTGGAATAGGGTCCGGGTTTAGGGAACATAAAATAAATGACTCAAAATAAAACTTTTTTTAATTCATTTATTATTATACTTCAATATACACACATTCATAATTTACAAATAAAAAATTTTAAAATGAAATAATTTATATTTTAAATGTTATATTCAATCGCACAATTATAATAACTTCTAAAATATCATCCTTGAGATTTCCACATAAATTAGACAATATATATTTCAAATATAATCCAAGTTCTACGCTTACCGAAAATAGATATATATTTATAATACATAAATTATTGTACTTGTGTCGCTGGTACAACGATTCTATACAAGATATATAATTCTGGATATATTGAAGAATTTTCTTCTCAGAATTTTAAAATATTTGTACCTTATTCATTCTCTTAACTTCTGAGAACTTGTCTATTATAGATGCAAATGGCATTTTTTGATCCTCCTTTCTATCTGATGATAATTTGATTTTTCTTTCTCTATTTAAAAGTAAAATTTGTTGCTATCATTATTATCATCATCCAACCAGTAGGTATTATTGTCGTAGCCTCTAATATATTGTAAATAATGGAGTTTTGCGTATGCCATAAATCCTTAAGATGGCCATTAGCCATTTGTTTTTGCACAATATTCAATAAAACTTGATATCGAGGGTCTAAATATATAGAAGCTTATAATTTTGCAAATATTGTTGCTCTTGAATTTTCATGTTTTCTAATATTTCGTTTGGAAAAGGACTAGAAATCTTTCTAAATCTAATAGGCATCTAATTTATATGCCATAAAAATCAGATAAACATAGTTCTGATTGTAATCTTAATGTTGTAATTTTTAGGAACTAATACACTAGTAAGGTCCTTTATTTGCATCAATCATCTTCCGAAAAAATGACTTTACAATAAAATCGTTAATAAATAATCGCTCTAGCATCATACAAATTGAGGACCAACGTGTAGTGTAATCTAATAATGCAATTACCTTTTCATCGATTATAATATTCTTACAATTGTGGGAGTATTTAAATATTTTGCAATATCCCTTGCTTTATCAATAATAGTTTTAAAGAGATTATTTTTAGGCAATATTAATAGCCAATTGTAGAGTATGGGTTGCACATCTGATGCAATGTATATTTGTGGGGAAATCTATTAATAAATTTACATAATAAAATATTATTACCTACACTATAAAATAATTTATGATATCAATCTCTAAATAAAATAGAAGTCCAGGAAGAATATTGAAAGAAAAACGCGAAGGTAAAATAAATGCCCAAGAAAAAAAGTGAATAAAATTTAAAAAATTTTATATTATTTTTTAAAAAAATATTTTTAAAATTTTTTATGACACCTAGAACCCTTCACTTTTAAAAAGAATCCGGGTTCAAGTATACGAGAGTTTAGGGTTCGGGTTTACATCCCTGATAAAAAAATCAATTAATTATAGAAGTCTGAAATCTCAAAATTTGCAAGTTAAATTTTATTTAAAATATAATTTTTTGATTTAAGTTTAAAAAGATCAAACAAATAAATATACTTACCCATATTAGTAAAATAAATTAAACTTTTTCATAATCAAAAGTTGATAACATTCGACAAGGGCTACCTAAATGCAACTTTCTTTCAAACCTAGCATGCTGCCGTATATAGCATAATTTTATTATAATATATTTTTTTGCTTTATGGTACTCGCTATTTTCAATAACATTGCCAAATAGTAAAAATAATGCTTCGCATATTTTATGAAAAAGATAATATAAAAAAGCCATTCATATAAGAATGAGGTAAATAAAAGTTAATTAGAATATAAATTGAAGGAATAAATTGTTAAAAATAGATTTATATGTACCATTTATTTTTCAGTATAAACTTCGAAAATTGTTAAGGAAAAAGTAGAAATTAATGTTCTAATTTATTAAAGTTCCTTCTGAATTTGGTGCATTATGCACCAGACATGTACACAGGAATTTGCTGGGGGGGGGGGGTTGAATTAAATTTTTTTGATAAAATTATTGTTATTTAAAAATATCAAACATAAATTTATTAGGAGTTTATTTTAAATTAATATGAATCATTAAAAAATTAAATATATAAACCGGCATATAAAAAAACTAAAAATAAATGTGAATTTATTAAGTGGATATAACCCATATGAATCACTATAAAATATATGACCCAAAATAGAAATTTAAATTTTTTGAGCCTTTAAAATTTATATAAAAAATTTAAATCTTAAAAATAAAATTAATACACAAGTTTCTTAGGAATAATTGTATTTTATATGTAATAACTTATAAAGTATTCATGAAAAAATGTATAACATATTAAAAAATAAATGTGCACAAATAATATTATTAAAAGGCTTATTATATATTTATAATGTAAAATACAAACTTCGTTGGGATTGAGCTAATTTTCTCATCCGTGCTTATGAATATTCAAAAGGGCCAAACCATTCGATCTACTTTTAGAAGTTGTACTTCTCAGGTGTGTTTTTATTCTTCTTAAAGAATGTTCTCTCATTAGTTACAGTACTAATGGGAAGAGTTGCTAATATATATAATAATTTTAATATATTGGGAAAATAATCTAAAAGATGTTTGAAATGATGCAAAGCATTCATAGAATTCAATAGTTAATCTTTTCTGAAAAAGGTTGTGAAGGCTTTTGTGGAAGTAATATCTGCAGATTGGTAAGTGTTGCCTGATGAATTAAAAATCGTTTATTTATTTGGGTTATAAATGTATCTAAGAAAGGGACTTTATAATACTCTTCTACTGACCAAATATTAAAGTTTGGACGATGAGCCTTGCTGCAAGTGGAGGGAGACAAATATTAAACTCGTATAACTCTGCTCATATAATATATGAAATTCTCCATCAACATTAGCCCAAATTTCCTTGAGTTCTAATAAAATGCTCTCCCCTATTCTCATAGTCTCAATCAAGTCAATGTAATGTTTTTGAAAAGTATTACATAAAATAGTTGTATAATTAAATAATTTATTAAGACATTCTAATGAGAAAAAAAAATTGGTATAAGTATTGAATTTAATAATTTGCTTGCTTCTGAGGAAATATCCCTTAAGACCATTGTGATATTTCAGTAAGAGCATTAATAATCGGCTCTTCTAACTCCATAAAAGCTGTTACTGCTTGATGATGATGACTCCATCTCGTTGGACAAGCTTTTACAATTTCATTCTCCTTGTTGGACAAGGAGTTTCAGAAATAATTCTGTTTAAAACATATTTTCGCTTGGGGTATCCCATTAATGGGGAATCCCTAATGCTTTAATAGGTGCAAGTCTTTCACTTTTACTTAAATAAGAGAAAAATATTATCAATATTTTAAATTTATATTATTTATAGCAATTTTTTTAAGCTTCATCTTCAAAATACCTATTTAAAAATCATTAGACTCATCTTTGTTGATCTTAGATATGTAATTTTTGCTAAATTTTAATTAAAATTTTGGCAATTTAAAGAATTCTCAAAATATCGAGTTAAACTAAAAGTAAGGCAGATACAGTTAGTTTTTATTAGAGTTCTACATGGACAGATCCAAGTCCAAATACTATGTAACTAAACTCGGATAGGTCGAATTAAAATATAAATCTTCTCGGACCAGGTCGGATTCGGACCTTGATTTTCAAATTTATTTCAGACTTGGCTTTGATCTCGACAAATTTTTAAATTATTTTTTTTCCTAATATTTTTATGAATACAGGAATTTCATTAAAATATTGTACCTTTTTAAAATTCCAATAAATAAAAATTCGTATCGGATCTTCGAAAAAAATTATCGTATCAAATTGGTTAAGCAAAATTCCTTACATCTTTTTCTTGAATAGAATCGGATTGGAAAAAATTGGTCTAACATAGCAGGGCTCAGTTTTTATATTACAATATAAATATATTGTTATTTGATAACTTACATTTAGCGGCATTGTAGATAAAAAATATGTTTTTGCTTCATTCTATTCAATTCATATCTATTTCTCACGATTGTCAAATCAGCTGATATCGTTCCTGCCATATCAATAAAATTGGATCGACCTCTTAAATGCGGTATCGGTAAACCCTTTATTTTTAGCGCTTAGTTTTTTATATATTAAATATGATGCAATACGATATTTTATAAAGTGAATATTTAATAGCAGAAATTTATCTGTTATAAAAAAATGAATTTAGTTCTTTACACAAATAATTTTGAATCCAACTCGAATCCGAGTTTAAATTTTTACTCAAACATTATTTATAGCAAATTAGGTGTGCGAATTTGGGATTTTATATTATCACTATTAAATTATTTAGTTTATAATCATTTTTTGGTAACTAACTTTGTAATAAAGATATTTAATATAATTTTAGCATATTTGATGTTAAAATATACTGGGTGGCCCAATTTAAGTGAATCGGGAATATTAGATCTTAAAAACTTATAGGTTAAAATGTTATATATTTTCATATTAAAAATTACCGATGCCTCATTATTGGGATTTTCAGCATCGAAGATTAGTCGAAAGTTAATTAGACCCCCATTATTTTCTTTGCTAGAATTTGAAAAAAATAATGTTAAGGAAATTCTCTTAAATTTAATTATTATAAAACACTCAAAAAAAATAAAATAAAATGGATATAAATACACAAACTTGCTGAAATGTATAGAATCCCAAGTTCTAGATGGGTTATAACTCTGATTTATCAGATCAGCACAATAGTTGTTATTGAAAGAGTTATGCGAAGGATCTGCAAAACATGCAATCTCACTATTCTTGTTACTTTCAAATATTAATTGACTAGTTTCAGGATTGCCATTAGGAATGTTTAAAAATTGATTTAGATCATGACTAGTAAAATCATAGTTTAAGGGTGCATTGTTATAGAAGGGAAGCTTTTTTTTAAAAAAAAATAATCAAATAAGAAGATCAAATGAATTTACGTTATTATATGCCGGAGTAGGTGCATTTACATAACCAAATATATCAAACTCTACGTCAATTTTTTCTTGGGGAAGGTCCTCTCCGGAGATTTGTGAGGTATAGTCTAGAATGCGATGCCCAGGAGTGGTATCAAAGGGCAGGGTGTTTACATTGTTTGGGATATAGTTGTTATTGAAGCATAATGATATAATTCTATGGTCATAAAAATATAATTAATTAATTTTTTGTGTAAAACAAAGGAGATTGAAAACTATTTTCTTGCTAAAATAAGATAGAAAAAGTTTCAAAGTCTGATATTAAATCTAAAATCAATACCGATATGGTCAATTTTTAGTGATCCCATTCGATAGGTTCGCGTTACCTATATTTAGGCAAAATTTTAGCTTCCTAGCTTTTAAACTTTGGGGAAATCATGTATGAAACTTATTTTTATAAGTGTCGGTTTTCATTTAATTAAATGATTGTAAATAATAAATTTAATATCAATGCTTAATATTTTTAAAAAATAAAAATATATTTACAAAGATGCACCGATACCATTCTTTTAAGTCTCCATAGAACCTAAGAAATAATAATGTATTATATTTATTTTAAAAAGCAAAGACATAGATGCGTCTAAAGTCAAAACTTTATTTTTTTTAAATTAATTTATTACTGAAATTTAGTTTGGATGCATAATGTATAAATATGAGAATCATTAATTTTTTTGACTTTGTACCAACCATAGTTCGTAATTTTTATAAATATTTATTTCACATTTTTTAATGAATTATTTTAAAAAATAGTGAGGGTCAACCCTCCGGTTTCCTCTGTTTGGACCCCAAACCGTAGCGGATATTAGTCTTTAGAATAAATTCAGCGGTTTTTGTATTAGGTCTTTGGTTAAGTTTGAATCGATATAATAATTAAGTAAACTATCTTTTTATAATTATTAAATAAATATAGAAATTATCAAGAAGTTTCAGATTCTATTCAAGTTTTATAAAATTTAAAGATAACACGTGAACTATAAATATAATAAAATTTAAAACACCATATAAATTACAAAATTATGCTATAAAAAATATTTTTAATATGGGGACATAATTGAGTCAATTTTAAATTAAGATTTTAGCCAAAATAACATGTAAGTCTCGAGATTTCATTAATAAATGTCCAAACTTTCGGTCATCTATAAGCAAAAAGGATTGTATAATATTTGGCGAAAATATGAGGTTACCCGTTTTTTAAAATAGAGTCGTTTAACAACACTAAATGAGTCTCTACTTGTTATTTTCAAATTTTATCAAGATAAATATATAAAATATTCAAGTTTAATTCATATATAAAACTAATTTCCTAAATTTTTATCATGTTATGTGCCTTTTACCATTAACGACGTTAAATCTACAATCTAAGTTTAAACTATGAGAAATGTATTTATATGTTAAGTTTAAGAAATGGTTAAAACATTTCAATATCTCACTTGTAAAACAGTGCCAAAAAATTTAAAGTCAGTTACGTCAATATGTATAACAGATTAAATCAATATGAAGTTCTTTTTTTAAGTTGGTTTTCTTTTTGCATATTAATGGATCTAGGTAGAGATTGATTATTTGGCAATCCAAGCAGCTTCAGTTCTATGTGAACAATTATTTTCTAAAACAGGTGACTTAGTAACTAAAAAGGGAATATAATATAGTACAAAATTATAAAATCTATCATTTTTATTAGTTATTGTTATTGTTTGGTGTTATTTTGATTTATCTTATTATTAAAAAAGAAAGAAAAAAACCAAAAAACGAGAATAAAATACGAAAAATAGCAATGCCACCAAATACTTAAAATAACCAAAATAGGGTATCGTCGATCAAATACTTTTTCCTATACTAAAAAGCGCGAAGTCTCCAAATTAAGTCGACCTAGCGTACGGCTTTAAAGTGAAAAATTTTTACTTAATTATATATATTTTTTTTAATTTAAGACGATTTTGCTAATTAAAAATTATGATTTTCTCCGATTTTTTTTTAAATATTAAATCTCTCATAAAATTTACTATTGGAAATGTTTTTTATTTTTAAGTGCATTTCGCTTAAGTTTACCTTATATTATTTATGATTTTTTGAGTGCTATAATAAATAATTACGCCGGAGGGTGGTATAAAGATGGGGGGATAAAACTTTTCTAAAATATATTTCGAAAAAAGGTCAAATTTAAGCTAAAAAAGGATTTTTTTGTGTTATTAAAATTTATCATAACTCTAGACCCCAAATAAAACTTTTCTAAAAAAATATCTAAAAAAGGTATCAAATGTAAGCTAATAAGATTTTTGCGCGCTATAAAAATTAATCATTACTGTAGGTCGTCGGGTAGTCAATGTGAGGGGGAGGGGTCTTTTTATAAATATATCTCGATAAGAGAATCAAATGGAAGCTAATAAAAAGATTTTTGAGTGCTATTATCACAGGCCAGATACAGTCCGGGAAGAAAAATGGTATGATTTAAAAAATCCGGAGTGGACCGTGCTTAGAAAATTATAAAAAATCTGGGCAGGACTTTTTAAAAATTAAACTTGTATCAATTAATCAGCTGAAAAATCATATTAATGAGCGTTTAATATTCATTTGCTGCTCATATTTTTAATTTCCATTTAAAACAATTTTAACAGCCAAAATAATTCAAGAATTTTAAAAATTCGGTGTAGGTCTGAAAAACTATCAAAAATAAAAATCTATGCTGGACGAAAAATCTCAGACTTGTCTTAAAAATAAAAATTTCGGAAGCGTGGCTTGATAATAATATTTTTTCAAACCCCGGGCATAAAATTTTAACTTCTACCTATCTCTGTTCTAGGTCCCTTGGTCTAGGATTTGGGCGGAGATCAAAAACTTACTCTTAAAGATAGTGTTGTTAAATGGCTCGATTTTTAAAAACGGCTAACTCAATATTTTATCTAAAAGAAAATAACGTAAGCCTGAAAATTTTGCTCATAGATGGCACAAAGGTTCATTATTAGCGAAATCTCAAGGCTCTGACAATATTTTTCTGGCTAAAATATTGAGTTAGCCGTTTTAAAAATATGCTCAAATAGAGCCATTTAACAACATACTTAAAGATATCTCGATAAGGGTATTAAATGAAAGCTAAAATACTCATTCCATGAAGTAACGGAATCTCACTAGCTGGGATTATAAATGTTTTGATCATTTCGCGCCTATCTTTAGCGCCAATTCTGTAGTTAGAGCGGTATTCAGAAATATTAATAAATCAATAACACACCTAATATCACATCCTATTGCTTCTGACACAATTTTTGGATCTAGAGCCTAAGATTTTTCCCAAACACTATGAAATTGTGCTAAATAAATCTCAGGAGACGGAAGGAAGGTTTTTTAACATCCGACAACGGATATCAATTGAGGTATGAAGGTCACTTTATATCATTTGGCTATGGGGTCAAATATAAGCACCCCCTAGCATTTTATATTAAAATTTATTAATAATTTTTATAATAAATTCTTATTTTTAAATAAAACACTTGTATCCTTAAAAAATAAAACTAGGAATAAACAAAAATTATTATAAATTTATACCGATAATAAAAATGTTACCAAAATATATTATAACGCGAAATAATATTTATTCAAATGATAAATAAAATATAAAAAAGCATTTTATAAATATGCAAATTTAAAGAGTTATTATATGCATTCAAATTATAAAACAATATCTATGAATAAAATTAAATGAAATAGCAAAAAATGAATCATTAAATTTTGGAAAATTCAAATTCTTCTAAGCTAATTTTTTAAAGACAAAATATTATTATAAAATGATCTTTCCTACTAAAATTCATATTACAAGATAAACACCACAGCTCCTTGTAAGCTAGAATATTTGTGAAAATTAGTACGATTTACACTAAGGCATAAAATATAAAAGGCTTTTTTTATTTTCATTTGATAGTTTAGTTTAAGAGTTTGGAACCTGTACATGTTTCTGATTCCGCATCTGAACATTTTTAAAGTTGGATTTGGTTATAATAGGGTTCAAGGTTTTTAATTCAAAACTCAGTTAATTAACAAAGAATATTTTCAAAAATTTAAACAATACACTTTCATTTTAAATTATATGCATAAAAATATGTTTCACTTTTGTTAGACCCAATATCTGGAAATTTTAAAATGGGTCTATGTACGAAGTCTGCAATGGGCGGTTTTTTTAGCTCTCCTGCCCATACTTTAGGGGGTGTTGTCGGGTTTTCTAAAATATTTTCAACATTGAGCGGGTTAAATAAAATTAAAATAATGGGCGAGTGAATTTTTAATATTTTTCAGGCAAAATGAACAGAATATACTTCAATTAATTAAAAATAACAGTTTTATTTCATAATATTGCATATTATATAATGTTTAATTTAAAATACATTAAAATAAATATATAAAGAACAAACCAACCATTGAAATATTTAAACATAAGGCGGGCTGGTTAAACAAATTTTATAGATAAATGGGCAAGGGGGGGGGGTTAATTTTTTAAAAAAATTACTGGGTGGGTGGGAGGATAAGAAATTCAAATGAGTGAGCGGACTCTTTGTCTAAAACTTGCCCACTGCAGACCTCTAGTCTATGCTACTATAAATTTTAAAAGAGAGGTTCCAGATTCTGATTCTCAGATTTGTCTAGGTTAAGGTCCCAAACTCTAATTATTTTTAACTGAAACTGCATTATGTAGAAATAGAAAATAATCAGTATAATAAAAAATATTTAGCAATTATTTAAAAAAGATTTTAAAGTTGACAGCACAGGCATTAATATATGATCAAGAACATTTATGAATTGAATATAAAAATAACTTGAATTTAGAATGAATGGAAAAATTTTAAAATAACTAAATTTCAATATATTAAATATCAGTATCACATAGTTTAAAAAATAAAAATACTTTAAAAATATAATATATACAACTATATTAACATTTAAAAAAACTCATTCTATAAAAATGAATGTGGGACTACAAGTTCCCAAAAACATGAATAATTGTATTTTAAAATTTTAATTTAGCATTCATTTGTTAAAAGTTGGAAATTCATGAATCATATGAATAAAATATTAAATACTGTCAATTAATTATATTTATTCTATTGAATATATCTAATAGATTTTTAAATAATTTTTTATTGGATTAAATCAAGATTCTACATTTAAGAGTTAATAAATATTTTTTTAAAATTGTTTAAAACTTTTAGAATCCTGTACAAAAACAGTGAAATAATCATTACGGTACATTTCTAATTTAAAATATTAAATTCCACAATGGCAATTAATGGAGGATTGTTATTAAAATTATTTTTTCATACCATGATTTAAATTTTAAAATATATCAGCTCTCAGATATATCGTTTTAACAACATTGGCTTATGATTTAATTTTTTCAATATCAAGTTGCAGGGTAATAATATTTATAAATTAGATAGAGTATGATGAAGCAAAAACCATTCAATGATATGAGTCAATTATCTAAAAGTGATGAAAAGATGGTTTATTTGTAATAATCTTCAATTGATGCAATGTAAATATTAGAACAATTTGGGCCTAAGGGCAGGCTTACAAATCTTAAAATCATAAACTTTCATATCATCTCAAAATTGTTTTGAAATTTTTAGTCATTATTAGAGGTCTGCAAAGGGTGGGTTTTGGGTCTGCCCACCCATCTAAGTGGGTGGGCTAAAAAAAATTCAAGAATGGGAAGGTGTTAGGTGGGTTAAAAAAATTTTAAACTATGGATGGAGTGGGTGGGTTAAAAATATTTTAAATTCTTGTTATTTAAAATTATTAAACATTAATAAAAAATTGTTCTTATTAACTTCTTTGGATGTTAAAAATTAAAATGTCCTTTTTAGGAATGAAAATTAAAATTTCCTTTTTTTGGCGAATAATGAATATTTCTGCATTGTATTGTTTTATTTGAGTAATAATTGTTTATCTTTATATTTGCTCTTTTCATTTTTATTTTTTATAACATTTTTAACAAAAAAATATTTTTTAATTTAATTTTTATTTTTAAATTATATTATATTATAAATAAAGAATATATATCTAAAAAATAAAAATAATTTTTACAAGTTAACAAAAATGATTCTGATAATAATAAACTCAAATCTTAAATGTAGAAACAATTTAAAATCATTTTTAATGAAAATGACAAAAAGCTAGAAGATTCACTGTAATGATTGCAAATTTGTCTATAATATAATAACAAAATTGGCACATCTCCTTCTTCGACATCAATGTTCATCTGCAAATTATGAAGATTTGATTGATAATAAAAAAAATAACCGGATATTTCAAAAAAGACAAATTTCGATTAAACAAAATGATAAAATCAGATCTAATTGCCAATTTTGTAGAATATTGTGCTATAGACATTAAGATTTTAATCTTTATTAAATTATTCTTTTATCTTTTTATCTTTAAAAAAAATTGACAACTAAGGGGCTACATATGGAAAATTGGGAAAAAATTATTCCATGCCCCACAACAGTTAGCAGGCATGTAGCCAAAGTTACTGAGGATCTTAAGGAAATATTTCCTAAAATTGGATAAATGATAAAAAAATTTCATTTTCTCATGTCCTACTGATATGTGGTGTGAGGAATTTACTAAAACTGATTACATATCTCTATCAATCCATTATACAAAATTGGAAATTAGAAAAAAAAATTCTTTTTATTTCACAATTTAAAGAATTATTTTAAAAAATATTAAACCTTGGTGTTTCCCAGGAATATTTTTCCAAGCTCATCATTGTAAAGAATCAAGGAGCAAATATTTATAAAAGTGCTGGAAGGGTAAATTTTTTTATTAATCTTATAAAATTTATCTTTTAGGTAGATATTATAATAATTTTTGAGAGATTCTGTATACATCTAAATAAAAAATATTCATATTTTAAGAACTATATATTTTTGTATTTTTTCAAATATTAGATTTAATAGACTAAACTGTTCAGCTGTTGAACAAAATACTTCGCAATGCATTCCAGCCAACTTTTATTTTGGAAAATGCTCCTGAGATTAATAATATTTTGACAACTGCTAAATTGTTGACCACTTATGTCAAACAAAGTGGCAAAGTAAAATATCTGAGCAAAACCTTACAATATATTGATATAAAATGTAATAGAAAGCAATATAATATATGAGATTTTTTTGTTTTTACAATCTCGTGATATGATTGAAAAAATGGGATCTATGGGAAAGGAAGGTTTAAAAATATTGAGATTATTTGGAGCCATATAAAGATGCAACTAATGCTCTTGAGGGTGACTGCAGGCCTAACAAAATGTTCTTATATGGTATGAAATTTATATTTTGGGAATTATGCACATTTTTTCTTTATTTATAAAAAAAGTAGGTATAATATTCTTCTACATGAGCATAATCAAATAAATAAGGATATAATGGTGATAAAAACATACTGCGAAAAAGAAATAGATTTAATAAAGAAAAGAGCTAAAAATTTTATAATTATAAAATTTGAAATCCATATGCTCCATAAAATTTCAACATTTTTAATAGCAAAGTTCTGACAAAATGAGGATGTTGATAGAAATTAATGAAGTAAAAATACATGTTGGATTTGATTTGCATAGAAGAATATAACATCAATGTGGATGAAAATCTGATGTTTCCCATTTTCCCAAAAGCAAAGAGAATTCAATTAAAGGGTATTAATAAATTATAAAATTCACTTAGTTACTTATTAAATGTAAAACGTCATATTAAACCACAATAGATGGGAGGATAAGGTTTTACACAAGAGAGTACCATACCTAATGGCATAACAAAATATTTAAATCTTAATGTAACCAGTTTTAATATGTAAAATTTAGCAAAATTTTAAGCTGCACATTACAATTAATTTAAAATTTATTTTAAAAGATCTCACTTGAGGAAGAGATTATACTTCAAATGGTTATCAGACTTTGGTGGAAATGACAAGAAAAAGATTTGCCAATACTATCAAGATTAGTAAAAAAAATATTGGTAATTCCTGCAAGTGCTTCTTCTGAACAAGGATAGCATTGCTGGAAGAGTTGATTCATTATTCTTTTTGCATTATAATTACATATAATATCAATTATATATTTTTTTATTAATATTTTATTTGATCAAATAAATTACCCATAATTTGAATATTTTCTTATGCTTAATATAGTAATTTTCTAAATTATAAAACTTTTTATAGAAGTGTAATGCTGAAACTGAATTATTTTTTTTATTAGATGGTTAAAAAATTGAAAATGGCTAAAATTTTATGTGGGCTTGGGTTAAATTTTTTTTATAAATAATGGGTAGGCAGGTAAATTTTTTTAGACTGGTGGGTAAATAATTATAGAATAATGGATGGGTGGGTTGGTAGGTATATTTTTTTGAAAACTATGGGCAGGCTGGGTGAGTTAAATTTTTTTAAAACATGGGGTGGGCAGGCTTATGGGCTAAAAACCCACCCAATACAGACCTCTAGTCATTATAATTTCTTCCTTGTTTATCTTATTAATTCCTTCATTTTATTTATAAACATTAATGGTACATCAGATTGTAATGATAAATCTATTATTATATTTCCTGTAGGTTTGGGTTATAATTATTAACAAATTAAATTTTTAAGTTTTTTTTATTTTTTTGTTGATAAAATATTTTATGTTCATTAAATAGCTATAATTTAAAATGGATTATAATCATTTAGGAAGAAAGATAATTTGCAATATATGAAACCCTTTTATATTTCTTCATATATATTTTATAAGTAAATTACATTATTTAGACATGGACATGGGGGGGGGACCCCATCCAAGCCAATCAAAATCAAGGAAATATAAATCAACAAATCATAAAACGAGTTGTGGCCAACCATAATCATCATAGATTTTTAATATAGAAGGTAGAATAAATTTTAAATTTTTTTTAGGCTAATTCCAAAATATTAAAATATGATTCACAAACTTTTGAAATTTTATAGAAAGAAAAATAGCTTTTTTAAATATAAAAATAAAAACATGTCCAAAATATAATCTAGAAAATTAGCATATAATTTCATTAAAATTTTAAAACTTCCAAAAGTTTTATTCAAATTTTTTAAGAAAGATTTTGGACTTGGTCTAATTAATTTTTGAGGGTTTTGGTCATTGTTATAGGTATTAATTAAAAGTAACAGTCAATACTAACTGATAAAGTGTGAACCAGTCAATATCTAGTATCAATATTGATTCATCTGTCTTATAAAGAAGCAAATATATAAATGTATATTGTAGTAATTTTAAATTTGTAATTGCCTTAAATATTCATTTTTAAATGTATAGATTAATTATATTTTTAATTGTAGTTGCTGATTTATTTTTAGAAAAAAAAGTGCAAAATATGATTAGATATTTTTCATTACTATAAAATAAAAATATAGATTTACGCTTTCTGGTCTTGACACTTTTCTTCGATGTAATTATTAGTTTCTTGGGATAGAATTTGAGATATATTACTTTCTTGTGAATAATTGAACATTTCTTTTTAAAAATTGGTGGTAAAATAGAATATATCGAATCTTCCATAAAAATGATGTGCAATCTGCCATTTTTGACGTTACTTATAAGATTGATAAAGTCGATAGGACGAATAACTTCATTCATATGTATTTTGAGAGTTGAAAAATATTTTAGAATGATTAATAACATACAGTTTTTAAAAAATGTTTTTTAAATGTTATTTCATCGCTTTATATAAATATAATATAATTTATAGCTGCTGTATAAAAGTTAGTATTTAATTTTAAACATGTATATCCTTCTTCTTCTTCTTCTTCTTCTTCTTCTTCTTCTTCTCCTTCTCCTCCTCTTCTCCTCCTTCTCCTCCTTCTCCATCTTCTCCTCCTTCTCCTCCTTCTCCTCCTTCTCCTCCTTCTCCTCCTTCTCCTCCTTCTCCTCCTTCGCCTCCTTCTCCTTCTCCTTCTCCTTCTCCTTTTTCTAGCTAAAGGTTTACCTTAAAACACAAAACAAATCCATATTGTTCTTAATATACAGTGATAAAAACTGTTTCTATCTCTATGTTTGTTGATACCCCTATTATATATTCAATTATTTCAAATTAATTTTATCGATTTCCTGTAATAGTACTAGGAGTAATAGAAATAATTAATCAGTCACTTTATGCATCCCCATAGTAATTGTTCAAAAGAAAGATAAAACATTACGAATTTGCGGGAATTTTAAAAGAACTATAAATCAAAATATTAACATTGATTCATACCCAATACCAAAAATCCAAGATTTATTAGCTAGTTTGAGAAAAGAGATGAATTTTCAATATATGACCTCTCAGATGCCTATTTTCAAATAAAAGTGGGAGTAGAGTCACAAAAATATCTTGTGATTAATATGCATAAAAATTTAAATATACAACACTATCATTTGGTATGCCGTCTTCTTTATTTCAAAGGGTCATCGAGAATTTATTAAAAGATTTTGAAGAAGTAGCTTGTTATTTAGATATTAAAATAACCATAAAAAATAGAAAGAAACACGAAACAAATTTTTAAAAAGATACTAAAATGTCTAGACAAAAATGATATCAAGCTAAAGATATAAAAATGTAAATTTTTCAAACAAAAGGTCGATTAATTAGAACACAATATATCAAGCTGAGGTAATAAAAGAAGCACCAGAACCAACAAATTTAAAACAATTACAGTCAATTCTAGGGTCAGTAACATACTATTCAAAATTTATTTCAAATTTTGTAGACAAAGCCAAGTCATTATACAAATTATTAGAAAAGGCAGTAGTTTGGAGATGGGCAAATGAATGCAAAGACGCGTATGAAAAAATAAAGCAAGAAATAAGTAGTACTCTAGTATTAAAACATAATGATTCGAAATTAACCATTATACTAGCTATAGATCCGTCAGCCATAGGAATTGAGGCAGTAATGTCACATATAGAAGGGGGTAAGGAGATAGGTTAAAAAATTCAAAGAATTTATTTATGTAAAAAATTCACATTACAAACAGACCACAGGCCATTAATGAGTTTATTTCATATAAGAAAAGATATACCAACAACAACCACTGCCAGAATACAAAGATAGCCTTTATTATTAGCAGGTTACCAATATAAAATGGAATTCAAAAGTCATCGACAAATAGCCAATGTTGACATGCTATCTCGATTATCTCTACAGGGAACCACAATATCAAAATAAAAAACACTAGTTCAGATACAGTTGGGAGAACAAACACTTTTGAATGCAAACGAAATTGAAAGAAAAACAATGTAAGATAATGTACTCTTTAAAGTATAAAGATATACAAAAGACGGATGGCCAATAAACTATGATATATGCTTAAAGGAGTATAGTCAAAGAAGAGATGAAATTACAACACAGAGAGATTGTTTACTGTTGAGAACTAAAATGAAATACAACAATACCGAAACAACGTGTTGGACATGATACATCAAGGGCATATCGTAATGGTAAAAATGAAGATGAGAGCCCGAAAATATGCGTGGTGGCCTAATATAAACCAAGATATAGAAACGTGGGTAGAAAAATGTAGAGAATGCCAAGAACAACACGATATGCCTCAAAAGACAGAGTTCAAAATTGGCCAAAACCACCAACAGCATGGCACCGAGTACATATTGATTATGCTGGACCATTTCAAAATCATTATTGGTTGGTAGTGATAGATGCTAGCAGTCGCTGGCCAGAATTTCCATGACTAGCACTACAACCGAAAGCACGATAAAAATATATTAAGAAACATCTTTGCCAATTCGGATTTCATAAAATAATTGTTACTGATAACGGGCCATAATTCAATGATTTTTGTGAAAAACGGAATACAATTAGTGTCGGAAGTCCATAAATCCTCAGACTAACGGCATTGTGGAACGTT